ACTGACCTTGACCTGCTTTGTACTTTGACGCCTCCTCACGGGATCACACTCGCAGAATCCTCAACCAAGCAAAAAAAATAATATCACGTTATCTATCAATCAACCATGAGAAGAAGGTCTTTGCTGCTCTGTTTCATCCATGGCTTCAAGGTGCGTATTTTACGATCAAGCTTTCTCCCCCCAAGTTTCCGATGTCTGAGGCACTGGGCTAATCGATTGGGTGGATATCATAGGGAACCGATGATACGTTCGATGGCTTCCCAGGAGTAAGTTCTCTTTCCCCCACCAGTTTACGATGGAATGAATGTATAAAGATTCTGATGCGCGATTCATATGCATAGGACCTCAGAGCTCTCGTGAGTAACGCATTTCCCAACCTCAGCGTGAAGACGGTCGTTTACCCGCAATACGAAACTCGCGGAGACCTACCCAGCTGCGTCGCAAATTTCCGGGAATGGTACGGCTCCCTCATGTTATCCCCCACCCCCAGGCATACAATATCTCTGACAGGCTCATAGGTTACAGAACCGCGTATTCGACCTCGAGGTCGCCGCTGGCAATCCCTCTCCAATTTTCGAGCCCAGCGTCCGTACAATCCTCGTAGCCCACTCCATGGGCGGGATTGTAGCAGCTGATACCCTGCTTTCCATCCTCGATGATGACATTATCACCCTACCCAACGGCCGCAAACAGCGCAAAGGAGTTGGTTTCATGTTCCCCCGCATCCAAGGCATCCTCGCATTCGACACCCCATATCTTGGCCTCTCCCCTGCCATGTTTGCGTACGGAACCGACACCAAGCTTCGGTCCGCATCAACTACAATCTCGCAGATCTCCACCCTCGCATCCGGCCTCCTCGCATCCCGCGCCGCCTCCGAAGGCGCAAACGTAGTGCAAAAAAACAAAGAGGCCGACGCCGCGGGGCGCCGACCCGGCCCCTCCTCCCAGAGCCGCTCCTCCCGCTCCTCATCAGGCTCGCGCTCGCGCTCCCATTCTCAGTCCTACAGAGAACCCCCAGCTCCCCCGCCCGCAGCAGCAGCAGCCGCCGCAGCCGGCCTCTGGGGCGGCTGGGGCAAGGTCGCCGCATACGCCGGCGCCGCATCCATCCTCGCCGCCGGCGGCGCAATCGCATACTTCAAGCGCGAAGAGCTCGGGCACGGCATCGGCTGGGTCTCCTCCCACCTCGAGTTCGTCGGCGCCCTCATGAAGCACGAGGAGCTGCGCAAGCGCACCAAGCGAGCCAGCAGCGTGCCGGACGTGGGCTTCGCAACGCTGTACACGGCGCTGGGCGAGCAGGGGAAGGAAAAGGGCGAGCGCACGTTCATCATCCTACCTGCGAAGGGCACGGAGCATGCCGGCATGTTTCACCGCTGCGTCAACCCGAAGGCGAGTGATGAGGTGGATGCGCATGTGTCCATGTTCTCGCCGAAGACGAACCCGTGGTACCCCGAGATGGGGCATCTGAGTCGTGATCTGATCGCGGAGTGGGTCAAGGAGTGGGGCGGTAATGGGAGGAAGGGGAGTCCGGAGAGGAGCAGTGGGATGGGGAGAGGGGAGAGGCTTTAGGCACTTGTTGTGAACACGATTGATGAGCTATGACGCTCCTTTGTTTTTGAGGGACGGTTAATGATCAGATGAAGATGTAGATGTAATGATTAAGATGTAGCGTAGTTTATTCCTGGCCTTCAGCCCGAGTACGTATCCATAAACCAATTCAATTAATTCTCTCATTACTACTCTACTCCAACCATAAACCAAAAGTAAAAAAGATACGAAATGTTCCAGCACTCTCCACCACAGGCCCACCAGCCCCGCAAAAGCGGGCAACCTGCACGAGCAAAAAAGGACGGCTGGCAACCCCCCCGCCTACCCACCAATCCCCACAACCCCACCCCTCGCAACAGAACGCCGCAAGAGAAACAGGGCCACAAAATGTGGGGGGGACATGCGGTGGGCAGGAAGAAAAGGGGCTGTTGCTCTTTGCACATAGACTAGAATATCTCTCCACTGAGGCCCGCCGTCAGACGGGGGAGGGATAACTCAAAGATGTGCATGTGTTTTGGGATTGTGGGGGAGGGAAACGGATGGACGGGAAGTGGAATTGCAATTACTTTATTTTCATTAGAGTACCTATGGACATTGTGTGTAACTGGGTCAATCGGGAGACAGAACCTCCTCCTCCTCTTCCGTTAGATGCCCGGCCGGGCGGGCCATCGTGAAACCGCAGAGCCGCGATGAACGGAAAGATGAGAATGATGGTGGTGATGATGATGATGCGAATAGTGTTGCAGAAGAAGAGATAGAGTGACAGCAGCTGCCAAAATAAAAATTTGATAAGTTGCAAAAAAGTAAGCGAGGCTTGGCACCGGGGGTTTGGACCCCACGCGGTCACAGCAGGGGGGGGGTTCCACCAATTAGGATGTGGCTGGGCGCGAGATACTAAATGCTCGAATATTTACTCGCATATCAAATATGTATTTGCGCAACCAGCAAAACACACAGAGAATCCAGAGAGCTTTCCCATCTCTCCTGAAATTATGTGTCTTCTATCTAGACACCTGAAAGACTCTACAGGCCACTTTTAGGCTATATCTACAAAGAACAAGCCCTGAAGGTGAAATGTGTCTAAAAGGGTCCTTCTATGGCACCGTTAACAGTATCTCAATTGGGCCAAGAATTTGAAGCATGAACCTCCTTTATTAAAATTATACTATACTTGGTCGTTGATATTTTGGTTTAAGTGTGGGACTTTTTATGAGTTGCTGAAAACCTCGATTTTTGGTGTGTTTTGCTGGTTGGGCAAATACATAATTGACGTGCGAGTATATAAGATAAATTTCCAAGGATTTCCATAGGTGGTTTCTACTCTCGGTCCTTAAATAGGGTCTTGGAGTACATGTAATGAACTAACGATTACATGTATATACTGCATGTGGTCTTCAATTGAAGTTTACCCAGGGTAATGATAGCCAGCACCTTTTTGCGAGTGAGTGATTATGATCGATCCACCCACGATCATGATCAATCTCAGTGATCTTACCAATGGTTAGGTCGTAACTCAGAAGTATGTAGCTTACGTGTGCACGCATAGTAACAAGCAATTTTCAGGAGTTGAATCAGTCATCAGATGAACTACTTCAATAGATTCTATCTGTGAATTCCAGGGTAAAGTACAAAAGGTACAATTCCAGGCCGTGGCTAACATGTACTAAGCAAAGTTGATAATATAATCCTCCATGTGAAAATTTCCCCAGACACCTCAACCTGCTGTTTGCCTTCTCATCTCCTGGATAGCGCACGCTGCCTCCAAATTCATCATTATATGACTACTTAGACACTCGCTCGTCTTTGATAACTGGTACATAGCTCATGATCAGGAGAAGTGGGTGGCCGCGAATAAGTAGATCTAGACGATGGCCGATCGGTGCACGGTCGTGAATCCAGAACTCCCTGGGAAATACCCCCAGGCCGCAAATCAATACCCATCTGTGAAGGCGGAAGCGCCTGTAAGCCAGTAGTAATTCCCGAGGTAGAAGCGGGATGTACGATAGGAAGTGGCCTTCGAGCGAACTGCAATAATTCTGTTTCTTCATTTCTTTCATTCGCTGAGATTCCCGAAGCCGAAACACCCTGATCATTACCAGCGATGAGTTCCCCATCATCTGCTGGTACTTCTTCAAGAATTTCCGGCAGTCTACCACCATTACTGCTTTGCCCTGGCGCATCTGTGGGGGGCCCCGAGATCTCCTCAATCTCGCCGCTCTTTACAAGAAGCTGCCTCGCAATATTCGCCGAAGGGTTCTGCGCAGGATCCAGCGCAGGATTAGGAAGTGGCCCCTCATCTGGCACTAAGATTGGCTCCTCATCTTCATCACCAATATCTTGCCGAGTGTTGTGCAAATGCTCGCCCGGGTGTGGTTCAGGATGTTCTCCTGGTTCGCTATTGCTGCCGAAGCCAAGGCATAACCAGCTCATACCACAACTTCTCCGTCTTTGCCTGGAGGCGCTATTACTATGGCTTGCGACTCCACGCCCCAGCGAAACTCCACGCCTCACCGAAGTTCCAGCCGGAGTTAGATTTTGCATCGGAATTCCCTCCCTCGAATCCGCAACTCTTGACCTATCGGTGCGCCGGAAATTCGAAGTCCCAAATAAAGACGACGGCGCCGAAGTTGATGGCTGTGGCGCCTGGGATCCCGGGTCCCGATTAAGTGTCGATAGCCTAGGCAACGAGCCGGAAGAGTGAGAGTTTGTCATTTCTCGTACACTGATGTAAGTCTTCCTGAGTTGAGCTGCAGTCCTACAGTTCATGTCTACTGGATGAGCACCACGACAGTCGTGGTCATGGTTAGAGCGGGGGCCAGTGGTGGGATCGTTGACCATATTTGCAGATTTGGAATGTGAGGTGGACTTCTGGTAGTTTATGATATATGTGTAGAAACTCTCAATGAGCGTGGGGCGAGGAGGTTTAAATGATACAGGATGGGGGATTTGTTAGATATGAATAACGAGCGTATTAGATAACGAGCGTGATAGGAACGAGCGTGTTTAGAGATTCGGTGAGAGCTGGAAAGGATTAGGAGTGTAGATATAGACTTATAAAAGAAGTAGCCAGTTTTCTATCATAGGTGGTCACTCGCCATCCTGAAATCTGCAGTGCTGCAAACAGTTGATACCACAACATGTGCATAAACACACTATGAACCACTAATGAAAGCTGTATCGAATATTTCCTTCTTGATAATATCTATCATTACATAATTACTCGTCCCGAGTAAATGAGAAAAAGTGAGGGGAAAAACAAGAAACAAGCTTAAAAGCAATAACGCCCCTACATCTGATACAAAACCCGTGTAAAAATAAGAAGAAAAAAGAAAAAGAAAGAGCAGAAAACCTGGTCAAAGCAATGAATTCCAAAAATTCCCACGCCCATAACCAACCGACTAAGACCATAGTACAGCTAATTCCTACCCCACCTCTACCGGTCCCTATCTCTCCTCCCACCACCTCTCCCACCATAATACCTTCTCCTCCCCTCAAAACCGCCTCTTCCTCCAAAGCCTCTGTCTCCTCTATCACCGCCATCCCCTCTCCCGCGGTCCCTACCGCCCTCCATCCCCATGTCACCGCCCTCCTCTCTCTCTTCTCTTGGCTTCCTCACTGTTGGTGGTGCCAACCCTGTCGTCCACCTCGGGTGCGCACCCTCCTTACACGCCTGCCTCCCATCGGGACAGAAGCCCGCAAGATAGAATTTGCAGATCGGCTTCCTCACATGCTTTTTTGAACAAGTCGGTCCGAGCGGGCAGAAACCGTTCTCGTAGTGCGGGCACAGCGGGATCTTAGAGTCGGGGTCGACATGTAGGTATAGACATTCCTCGCCGTTGCTGCAGTACCCGTTGCGAACAAAGAAGTTGCATTCCGGCATTTTACGACTATAATAGTTCAGCTGTTAGCATGGGAGGTTTTATATCGCTATGGGGAAAACCTACAGATTGTACTCGTGTAGAAACTCACAGGCTTCGCCCTTCTTGCACAACGAGCGGAGCCAATGCTTGCACACCAGACTGGATCACGGGATCATATTAGCATCTCTACTCTACTATGTAACAAATCGCCGTCCTGGAAGAAAACTCACTTGTTGAAGCTCGAGCTCACGGCATGCTTATCGGGGCACGAATTACCCATGGGACAATGTCCCTGGACGAATAGCGGGCATGTCCGGCGGTTTGGGTCGAGGCCGAAGCGGTACTCTTTGCGGAGGAAGTCGTTGAACGCGAAGCGGCCGGCGAACTGCTGCTGGGGGTTGAGAATACGGTCTGCAATACTGGGGGTTGAGGGCGCGGCGCCGGCGGTAGTTGCCATGGTTTACAGGTTTGTTTTGGGGAGGTTTTAGAGAAGTGATACGTGATATCACGGGTGTGGCGCTGGAGGGTCAGGTTGAAGGCGCGTTGTGGCAGAAAAAGAGAGGGTAACGGACAGGGATCCGACTTCTGGGATGATGTAACCCTCTGAGATATCACTCGATGCTCGGCAGGTATGGTGCCAATTACATGTAAGTTGAAAGTTCGATCCGATCGAGGATTGTTAAGGGCCCGTTTGGGAGCAGGTCCAAGCGGAGTTTTGTTGGCAAATTTGTATGGCAACGGGAAAACTCCGTTTCATTTATTTCATAACTCCGTTTTGCAAGAAATATTTGTGTTTGGCATGCCTCCGTTAGGGCTTTGAAACGGAGTTTTTGAAAAGTAGATATTACCTACTTTTTCAGCCCCGTCTCCGCTGCAACGCTCAAAACCCACCAAATATATCCACCTTGATAACCAAACTACACTGCTGTTTGGGAAGCCCAAGCTCCGTTTTCAAAAATCTCCATTTGCACTCGTCTAATGGAGTTGTTGCATAACGGAGTTTCATAACCACGAAACTGCCAAACGGGCCCTAAATTTACTTTGGCTATATGTATTTCAACAAACCTACGTAAAGTGTGGATTGAGCACATATGAGAGGTGATTTTAAAATAGCAATTTGAATATGTAACTTAGCTAGACTCATTCGTATCTAGTGGTGCTAGAGTAGAAGATAGAATTAAGCTGACATCTCTAGCCTCTAGCTCTAGCGATACACACACACACACAAAAAAAAAAAAAATAGACAGAAAAAAAGAGGAAATGAAAGCAAACTTGCAGCCCAAGCCCCATCAAACCCTCTAGTAACTCCATACACCAAAGTACCAAGCCACCGCTGTTAGAGCTAATCACGCCGGGGGAAGCTTACGCTTCCTTCACTTCCTTCACCTCTTCCCCAAACGTATTCTCCTTGACATACGTAATATACAACCAACCGTCCTCATCCTTCGCCCAGTCGTAGATAATGCCCATTTCGACCGAGCTCGGCTGAACGACGCCGTCAACCATGACGAATAGAGCCTCAGTCTCGGAGACCTTCGCATCCCTCCTAATCCTCCACATGACCCCGGCGAGTGTCTGGGTGCGCTCGACAGAGAATTCGCGACGGCACATATGATGAAGTCCACGTGAGCCGGACTCGCAGACAATCGGAACACACTTTGGGTACTTCTTCATGATGGCCATGTACTTTTCCTGGCGGATGGCGAAGTTGAAGTCGTCTTTGAACATTGTGTAGAGGTTGAAATTTTTTGGTTGAATAGAGGTATTTGGGAGGATCTAGAGCGTTGATATAGGATGGTTTGAGACCGTTGTTTAATAACACGCGTGGTATTGTTGCAGTTCCGTGTGTGATAAAACTTATCAAAGAATGGTGAAGTGGGGTGGAAGGTGAGGTGTATTGTAGCTTATTTCTGTCACCATAGTATGTATTGCCTAATCCTTCTGTAATCAACGGGCGTCATGGAGCGAGTATCGTCTACCCACAAACACTTTTTATTTTTTTAATAAGCTCCGACCCAGTCACGTCAGGACTCTGAACCAAACATCGTTCCCGATCAGCAGCAGCAAAAAACCCCTCTAATTCCAGACCATTTAAAGAGACTATTTAAGCAAATCTTTTAATCATGAATTTACTTGCTTCACATGTGCACGGCACCGTTACTTTACAACTTCTTGACCGTCCCTGGCGTTCGAACTAAAGACTGGCTATAGCAGTCATAGAAGCGTCAGCGGCGACCCTTCTATGGCTTCACAGCACTATAGACTACAGAAGAGTCCTTATTGGCATAGTATGTCTAATGAAAGTCTTCCTTAAAATAGTTCAACCCCCTCCTCAGTGATTTCGGCTATGTGGTCTGGGAGGTAGTAATCATAAGAAATCACTCGACCGCGAACCTTGCCCAACTAAGCAGATCGTCTGGAGTAAATAAGGCTCAAAGCTACATATGTATAGTGTCAGCCATAGATTACCGATCTCTAAAATGCTCGGGCACAATATGTGGGACTAACTGATCCGACAAAGAAAATAGTAAAATTGTAGAAAACCGGCCCTCTACATATTGAAAACAGTAGTCCATTCGCGAACCCCAGGCTCAACCTTTCTCCTCTAATCTGATCCAGAGGTCAGGCTTTCTCTCAGTTCGTATTGAAAAAAATAAGGGTTTAAACGTTTGGCTACACGGACTCTTTATCGAGTGATATCCTATGACGAAGAGGATGCCTTCTCTGAGATATAACCCGTAATAAAAGTACATGTAGCTATATACAATTTTGACCTTTCATCCGGTGAAGATTCTGATGGATTCTTTGTATTAATTTTAGATACAAATTGGAGATATGCGAATGGGCTTCTGGTACCTTTAATATTAATGGTACGCGATAGATTTCCTAGTAAAATGATAGTTGGACATAGAATCACTTAAACCCCTAATAACATATTCAACACTCAAGTCCACGACAACCAACCTGCTACTATGGTATCCACCTTCAAGTGACTTACAATCCGAACGCAGACCACCACAGTACAGGGCCGGCTCAAAACTTATTGTACAGCCAAAGGATTTATTCTATCAGCGCCTACCCGTCCGATACAGATAAAAACCTGCTATTTCTCAACCTCAAAGTCTCTTAAAACATTCAGTCAAATCACCATACAAGAACAAAAACAACAACATCTCTCACACCAAACCGACAGTATCTAACATCCACAATATGTGTTTCGGCAGCAAACCCAAACAGTCTTCGACCTCCACACCCGCCTCGCGCCCTCATGTCAGTCCCGAAACCAACACTAACCAGACTAAGTGCTCGTGCGGAAATCCCATGTATATTTCGGATGAGATGTGTGCGTCATGTAGAAGAACTTGTGAATATTCCTTATTGGATAATTATATAAGGAGTCGCGATGCTAATATAACGAGGTTTAGTACGCGTAGGTGAACGGTTCAACTGATTGGAGCTTCTAGATCAAAGAAGGGCGTGTGGTGTAGACGTGTACGTGTGAATACTTATGCAATGGATTGAGGCTAGGGTGTTGATATGATGAGAAGGACCGTTGGCCTGAAGTAGTCTATGGCTGGCCTCTGGTCTTCGAAGACGGCTATTTGTAAATACATGTAGGTACATGTACATGTACTTTACTTCTTTTACCACGACTAGTAGAATGATACATAGTGATTATATCAATGCGCGTTTGAATAGATAGTGCGAGTGATATAGACTGTATATAGGTTATATCGTTTCAGTCGAATTTGGATAAAGGAGTAATAATTTAAAGAGTAGCCAGCTTTCATTCCTAGTACCAAAGTCTTTAAAAGATCTTGTCTTGATTTATACCCCAACTTTTCAGTGTTGAGATTCTTCATAGCTGGCGCAGCGTCGAGGACAGAATAAAGTACGTGCACCCTTCTTTACAGAAGAGATGCAATCAAAGAGGACGGACGGCGTATAATTAATTACTTACCTAGATAGCGTTTTAGGAAGGATGACTATATATACGATCAATTCTCTCGTTTTCTATATTGACATATTTTTTTTCGCGTATATGATAAATGGCTAGCTGCTGTTCTTCACTTGCGCAATTGCCCCGCGGCCATGCGCCCTGTACCCACATGTTGTCCCGCTAGGGGTGCTCATGTACCCGCTTGGACATTTAAGCTTTAGAACCCACAGAGTTTATAGAGACTACATCTTCTTCGAGGCTTAGCCCTTCATGTTACTCAAAAGTTCCACGCACACCTTCCATGGAAATATATGCTCTTCGATTTTATTTAACCGGCTGACCACCCTGTTTCGATACACATCTATTACTTCTGAGCTTCATAGGACGGGCGCACTCAGCTGCACGACTAATCAGAACCCATGGAGTTATATCACTTCATAATATGCGCGGATACAAATTATGCTAATAGGTTAAACCAACCAACCAACTACTGCTTAGAGGATACAACCGGCATAAACCTGTTAGCGAGACTAGTCAAACTGGGATTTTAAAGCGATTCCTCATGCATAAAGAGGTAGCGAACGGCTGGAGAGACTGATTTGATATCCTGTTTGGGATCATAGCATGTCACTCGCATACACGCGTTCTTGGGCTATCTATTTTCTTGGAATGTTCCGTGGGCGTTAACTTGTATAGCGACGACTATAAAGCTTAATTACAAGCTTTTGGCAGGGAGATGAGTCAAAGGCCGTATTCCCGATAGATCGCTACCAAAGAACTACGACCAAGAGGTTCTTCGGTACATGCCATCGATGGATTTCATGAGTGGTACACGATTCAATGGCGTCCTATGAGATGCTCCTGCAATTAAACCTCTTCGCTAAAATTACCTACTCTAGCTGACCACACATGTACTGAGGGCTCGAGAGAGACAATAACAACCCTATCACGTCTCAATTTCATGAACTTCTTAGCGCCGGCCACTCTCCCTCCGTTTGAAGGGCTACAGAACATGAAGGAATCATCTTTAGAGATTGGTCTAATCCATGATCTATTGTTAAAAGCTTAATAGGTATGTACATACGTGGTCAATCGCGCTATTTCACGATCCTAATAGGGGGTGATCACATGCCTTCCTTCGAGTCGTTTGGATTAGGGCATTGCTATGCAACTAAATCCACCAAAATATCTGATGTGCACTTTCAGAATACACCTCCACCTGAAGTGCATTTGAGCCATTTTAAGTTATGCTCCCGCGCAGGACTCGACTGGGCTCATCTCAGAGAGATGCACTTTATAAGAGGGTACCTAGAAAGTGCAGTAACAGAACAGAATAAAGTGCATGGGCCGGAGTGTTCCGCCAAAGAATTACACCCTTTTAGCTGCAGTGTCTCAGCTAGATTGGCGTGCAAGTTAAGTGCTTTTACTGGCCCCGAACCGCCCAAAGTTTATGGAACGGCGCGAATGCCTTCATACCACGGAGCTGGTTCTTCTGAAGGCGGTGTGTGTAAGAAGCCTGGCTGTGGCACAAATTTAACAAAAGCACAGCCTCATAGGGGTGATCATTATTTCTCCTGCTATGAGTTTAACAGGATGCATCAAGATGACCTCATATGGATAAACAATGCATAATTGCCTTGTTATCTGAGGATTTACCCAAGTCACAAGTACATACATTTAAAGGCCTCGAGAAGTTCTGCAGACTAATGTCCCTGAACTTAAGTTACAGTATCGAGATCCGACCGGGGCTGAATAATCTACTTAAGTTTAAATACTATAATTTATCGTTAACTTTCTTCCGGTCAGAAGACAGGCATTCAACACCAGCCCCTGACTTCTGCGTTATGATTATTAGAGTGTTCCACTCCCTCAACCGAGAAGTGTGTTGAACGTGGTTTTTTTTTCTTTTTTCTCTTCTTTTTTTTTGGGGGGGGGGGGTATGCATCTGTCGCCTGCGCTGTCAGTGAGGTCGGAGCGCAAGTTCTTTTGGGGGGATATTAGAGGCACAATGAACCGTGGATCGAATTAAGCTAGCGAGCCGTGACTGTTCTAGAGGTGGTTTAGTTTGAAAAGTTAACTCTGAAAGCTGGCGTAAGTGATGGAACTAGCATAAGAGACTCTTTGACCTTTATAGGTTCCTGATCGCCTCTCTAGAACATATCGTTCCTATCGACGGTGAGAATCCTGACGTTAACCCGGGTCCTCTAGAAATTTAAAACATGTATGGCGCGAGAAGGCATAGGGGGTGGGTGTGTCAACTTCAGAGGAACTTTTTTTGTATGGGAATTAGAGAAAATTCCACTGTCAGGCTAGGCGCTAGTACCATTATGGGGGTAGATCTCCCAATTCCTATAGATTGATTGGCTGCAAACGCCGAAGTTTACACACCTACCCACCATAGCTTCTCGAGCCATAGCAGAATGAAAACCATAGCCTTACATGACAGGAGTATGGCCGGACTCAGACCGTGGGCCGACATGATTCCATGTATCAAGTTCACAACGTGTGCATCTGGTTTTGAAAATGTTTACCCAAGGAGAAACTTCAACCATTGGGCCCGGAAAAGATAGGAAGGTGACGGCTTTTGCGATCAAGCTCGCCAGAAGAGTGTGACGTGTTGCGATGAAGCAAACCTCCCGTCTCACTGGTGCCATTATAAGCTTCATTACACTACCAAATCCATTGCTCCGGAACCCCGGGTGAGCCTAAAGTCAACGATAGAAATCGAATGCCTCTCCGAGAAAGATAGCTATTTAGAACTACCAAGTTGTAGGAAGTAACTATACCCACAACTGAATAGATTGACATATGGGAGGTTATTCATCTGTACTATTCATATTTGAGTCTGCTATCTAATGCGTTTGAATTGACTACCGTAGTAGTGATTAGTTGGCTCACATAGGTGTAGCCATTAGAATAGCTTCAAGGACCAACCAAACCCATAAAGCTGCTATTTCGAACCAAACTTTTCCGTAAAATTATATATTAATAAGAAAAGGATCTTATTAAGTTGCAAATAACCGGTTACCAGGATTACATGCACCAGGGGAAGGACCAAATACTTGTCAATAGGAATCAAGCAACCTAAGATCGATATCGAGCTTGCACGGGTTGATGACTTGACACATAAACGGCTCTATTTAATGAATCGGCGCGCTCTTAAGTAGATTCTTTATGAGACGGCGGATTGCCTATTCGGCCTACTGGTGTGGGAACTTGTCGAGAAGTGAGGAGTAATCATGCACTCTAAACACTATGCATCATGCTATCGGTTGTTGATCGTAGCACAGGGCGGAGATGAGCTCAAGCCCGCCTAGAGGACTGCCACTGACACCCAAAAGAGAAAATATATGTAGTCAAGCTGTCCCCCAACGCCCATGGCCCAGTATCCACGAATCGTGGGCCATGGGGCTGAAAGAAGCTTTTGGATTACTTGGGGGCGGCTGCAGAGGATTACTCATTGGTTATAGCCGTCACATACGTATACTATACCGCATCTGTGTACCGACAGGGCTCAGACATGTTCCTATATGGATATTGAGTAACATCGGTGATGTTGATCATTTCCCGGAACTCTGTTATGTAGCCCCCACATCGGCTGATTAACAGATGTTTTCGATTACACCTCGAGCACCGCCTACGGTTTGCCATCTTGACCATGCCGGCACATTGATGACTCTCATGTCTCGGTATGAGGAATGTGAAGGTCAAATTAACGATTATATTAGAGTTGGGTGGTGTATCATAAGTGCTGTTCTAGACGGTTAAATTCTTCGATTGGTTTTACTGGCGCCCGCTGAAAATACTAAATGGCAAAACGTTCATAAGCACAGTAAGATGTGGGGATTTGACGATCAGCAGGCAGGCCACTTGGAGTCGCGCATAGGTTGATCTTCGAGAAGAAGACGACCACCACACATAATGTTTGATCCAGTGCAAGCTTTCACTGGACCAATCCGTTCAGGACTTGGGGCTGAGTTATTGAGCTCCTCTAACATGGCTGTTCGAAGTAACATCGATTGTACTAACGTCCCGTTAATCAATTGTTAAGCTTATTCCATCAGGGTTCACACTGTCCTGGGAGTGTCACGTCGCACCCATAAGGGGTGTTTTGAAGACTGCAACTGCAGGGAGCGAGGAAAATGAATCACCGCATAGGGTCTAAACAGACTATCAACACACGCAAAATCTCAGGAATAACGAATCGAACTTGACTGGAATATTGGGCTTCGGATTTGTCAAGTGCTTCTTGAGCCCCAATCCGACATAATTCCAGCCCAGTCTGATTCGTTATTCCTGATGTTCTGCGGTAATAGCCTAGACTTCAAGACAAGTCACAACCTTGTCCCTGTCCCCCGCGGCCAAGGGGGTGTGTCTATATTGATAAATAATCAATATAGCGTTCCACTACTATTATTACCTGCCACCCCGCTGCTCCTACTTCTACTTGGTAGTGCCCCGGGCCTTTTCAGATTTTCGCTTCTTTCCCTCTGATTTCGCTACCACACTTTTGGACTTGGACGTGAAAAGATGTATCGTGGGATTCTTCTGCTCGGGTTTTTGGCTTTAGTAGTTGATGCCCAAGTAGCTCAAACTGATCCAATTGTGAATTTTTGCAGGAGGATATGGCATTCTTGTAAGTGTTTACGCCGGATCTTGGTTGCTTTGCTCGTTATTGACTTGCGTAGCGGTTATTAGGGATGAAGTCTTGTATATTAATGGCGGACTCCAATCGTACAGCAATGTCAATAGCACTACTGGGGAGAAGTACGGGAATCTATCATATGGCATCAGTAAGTCAAATGTCCCCCTATACATTACTAATCACATCTTCTGACGCGAATAGATCAATACGTTATCAAGATGGACTTGACACAAACTTGGAACTGGCGAAACTCTAGTTCTCCCATCAAACTACTCCCAAAGGGTAACGGCAACGAAACGCCTCCCAACCTCTCCCGTGGCGCATTATATGCCGGCGCTTCGAACGATACAAAGCTTTATGCCTACGGCGGAACAGTGGATTCGTCAGTCAATAGTTCATGGGATGGCTTCCAGCACCCTACTTCAAACCAGGATTCATTATGGTCATATGACCTTTCTACCAGTTTATGGGCGCACGACACGATTAGTGATACTGCTTTGATTAGACCAGCATCCGGCGCGAGCGCAGAAGCCACTGAGCTTGGGCTCGGATTTTGGTTCAATGGAGAGCAGGATAGTGGGACGTCGTCCGAGTCGGTCAACTTGTACAATACAGTAAAGTTTTTGAAGGGGATGATAGTACTGGATTTCAATACTGGCGAGGCCAGGAATCTTTCAACATCTGCAGTTAGCGACTTGGCGAGGGTTAGAGGGGAGATGGTTTATATTCCAGGGTTGGCGAGAGGGGGATACTGGTTCTGATGGGTGGAGGAGAGAAGGGGGCGGAATATGAGGATTCTCAGGAGTATGGTACTTTGGTAAGTTTTTTTGTCTACTCTATACGACTCTTTAGGCCGACCATATCTTTAAATAAGGGCAAGGCTTATAGTAGGTGGTAATCTCCAGGTTTCATTGGCACAAGTTGAGATATTTGATGTTGCATCACTATATAATCAGAGCACACCGGACGGGACATGGTATTCACAGAGGGCAACTGGTGATGTTCCGGATGCGAGGGTTGATTTCTGCCTCGTAGTTGCCTCTGCACCAGACGGATCCAGCCATAACATTTACATGCACGGCGGACGCGGTACCAGTGGCGATTACTATGATGATAGTAAGTCTATTAAATTTAGAACTATCCATTTCAAGTAGCTGACAACCCCCTCATCATAGTTCATGTACTTAGTATACCATCTTTTACTTGGACAAGAATATACTCCGGCACTGCTTATCGTTACGGGATGAAGTGTCATCTCGCAGGAAACCGCCAAATGATCACGGTTGGTGGTTCCCAAGAAGGAAGCTGGACAGACAACTGTGATTGGGAATATAGAAGCGTGGGTTCTATGACATGTCAACAACCGAATGGGGCCCTACCTTCTTCGCAGACGCCGCGCCTTATCAGGTTCCAAGACGCATCGTCGACGTTATCGGCGGAAAGTGAGTTGCTTCCTACATACCCAAACGCCTGTACATAACAAGGACTACACTAACAAACTACACAGCGTAAATGGCAGCGCAACACTAATAGCCCCAACCTCCGGCTTCCAGGATGCCGCGCTCTACTCCCTCTTCCCAAACTCCTCCGACGGGCAAACAACTGCCACCGGCACCGCAACTGGCGCACCTGTTGACCCATCATCACCACCGTCTTCGCCGTCGTCGTCGAACACTGGAGCCATCGCCGGCGGCGTTATTGGCGGCCTTGCAGGCATCGCTTTGATCGGCGCAGGTATCTTCTTCCTCCGTCGCCGCCGCCATCAGCAGCCTGCGCCGGCATACACAGCCGGAGACCCTACAGTTGAGGCAGGAAGCTCATCGCTATACGAGAAGGACGGAACACTAAAGGTAAACCACGAGCTGCAGGGTGACGCAGCGTTCCGTGAGGGTAACGTACCGCTGGCGGAAATGTCTGGTGGCATATCGACATTTCCGCCGCTGGAGCTGCCGGGTGAATCTGCGCCGCAGAGATAACTGGGCAGGTAAATCACGATGTGGGATGTTATTCTTGTTTTATTTTTAGGGGGAGGGAGGACTTTTGTATTTTTATCTGGTGGCCTGGTGGGGAGATCTGGGGGAAGGGCTCTATCCAGCTGGAGGATTGTGGGAAGGGATGAATCTCTGCTTATGCGTAATGCGGATTTTGGCTTGGTGATTTCTGAATGCTTTTAGCAATAGAAACGTAATAACTATTAGTTAATGTTCGGGAAGGTAAATATCTTTAATCGGGGGAATCAGAATTGGTATTCTGGTTTAAGCGCCTATGTATCACATACTTGCATAAGTCCTCCTTCTTCCGGCGGATCTCTGGACCCGCGCGCTTCGTGATATCTGGCTGGCAGAAACTTCAATACTAATCCCCACAAAGTTAGAAATCGAAAGCTCTTGTCATGTAGGACCGAGCGACCGACTAGCTTATAATTATGTAAAGGTAGGCAAGGACAGCATTCAAGGGGCGCAAAATAAGCTCCTAGCGAGATCGATCTACCCCCTGGCCACGGTTTGTGCGGGCTAGCTACCTGGCGCACATGCTTTCTGATTTTATTTCTTGGAACACAAAAACTAATCTAAACAAGTTTAGCTAAAAGCTTATCTTGAACTACTAAGGCTCGGCGTCGAGTGATAGGTCATGATAATAATTGCAAAGGCCAGCAAGTACAATCTCCTTATAAGGGTTCGGGTTATAAGGGTTCGGGTTATAAGGGTAGGGGTATTGGGGGTCTTCATTGGTGGCCTCGTAAGTACAGATTTGCTCCTCCTATAAGGGTAACCGCTTTATCAGGGTGCCAAATTTCGGTCCCGATGTACCCTTACAAGGAGATTGTGCTATAGCAGGCATTTGAGATTGGATCAGGAATGGAAGTTATATGTATGTACTCTCGTGCGTAGTGTATATATCTCATAAGAGTGACATGGATCGATTTACCTCAGTAGTAACTTACAGTCATAGCTATATGAAGATTCTGACAATATCGGGTTGTCTAGATCTGTTGATCTAGCAGGTAAAGTGATTCCACTATAACTAGAAAACTAAGGGGATTGGTAGTACTTGGGTCGACATAATGTGGCTATAGTATTGTTAATTCGATCTGGTTGAATATAGATAGAGAGGAGGCCCTTTTTTCTTAGAGTATCGGGACCCGGAACGGCAAGCTTAGAGCATGTTATATTTGGTGTCTGATCATGATATCTATCACTGTGGCATATATATATGCGTTTTGGTCTTGGTTGACGGGAGTATGTGTATATCATCCTAGTAGTTTGGGGCGGGAACCACGTGTACGTAGGTGGTTATTACCCCCCCCCCCCCCAGTACCTGTAGTTTTGCAGGATCTGTTGTTCCTTTTTAGTTGTGATATTTGGGCTCTAATATGATGAAAAGATCACATAACGTGGTTGCTCAAACAGTCCCAACAGAAAAAATATCACATTGCGCCAAGCTGGTTGAATATCATGATATTCCGCCGCAACAGAACGCAGCCTAATCTGAAAAACGGCCATTTTCATAACTAGAGCTGACTTTAGGATTGAATTATGTGTCGCTGTGTGGAACTTGTGTGTGATGCCGTTTATGAAGGTGTTTGGTATTCGCTGTAGTTACAAAACCTATCGTCAATTCCATTGAACGGAGGGCCAAGGATTAGAATTCCTCCATGTATGTTTAGCTAGGTAGAGCCTTTGTGTGTTTGTGTGTCCTGGGATTCCGATCATACCACTTATTTGCCGCCTATCTACGGTGTTCATAGATTTAAAAGGTATGGCTTTCGATGAACCCAACAAAGACGCCAAAACCCGCAAAAAAACGTAATCGCCAACAACCCGAGTGATAATATATGATGGAAACCTTACTAGCTATATGAACGTATTCGTCCATCTCAAATATAATCTCTAGCCACGTAATGCCTCGAAACCCCGCACAGTCATGTCTACCTCACAGCTAGAAAAATCTCTATAAGTTGCACCTAGATCTCCCTTTCCTCTCCCCTCCTCGGCCCTCCCCACAAAACATCCACAAAAAACATCCACGAAACAGCTTCACAAAACATCCAAACCACCATCTAAATATCCGTGATGAAGCCTATCATCTCAATCGTCCCCTTTCTGCTCATTCTCCTCCTATTCAGCCCCCTCATCGCTGCGTGGGACATTGCCCCTGACCAGCGCAATCGCCCCCCGATCCTAGCAGAAGACGAGATCATCGACCAGCGCAACCGTCCCTCCGACGAAGCCATCGAGCCAGTTGATAAGACCAACGTTGTCATTCCACGTGGTTTGAAGCACAAGCATCACAGCCACAGACACCACCATGGCGGCCGCACCACACGGGGTGCTAGAGCGGCTTTGGGGCGCGGGGGTTTGCGGAGGATTTAATCGACGGGATTTGTCACTTTGTTGAAAAACGTCTGATTGATCTATCTATTTGGTAGATTGACAGATAAACAAAAAAAAGGTCCCCGAGGATACTGAAGAAAAGTTGGTTGGTTGGTTGGTAATTTTTAATCATACATACTTTGTAGCTTTGAATAAAATCTGGCAGTTTTTACTGTATTTTTTCTAGTGCTATGAGAATGTTCTGGGGTGATCAACAATCACATAAAAGAAATAATAAATAAGGCGACGCACATATCCTTCGTATTTTTCTGAAATTACCAAAAAGCTACACATATTTGATCCCCCAAACTTTTAGCGTGACACTAACTACCGAGTGATACACCATGACATAACTTCATTGGAAGAAGCACGCGAAGCCACACACAACTATGGCCGACATCAAAGTGGCAGAATGTGTAACCATCAAAAAAAACAAAAATATATGAAGGAGAAACTAACTTGTGCTGTATGTATTTATTCTGAGGATAGTATGCTAATATGGGCACGAGGAACGCACTCCGTTGAAAAAATGGTAATAATATAATGCTGATAAAGGAATCAAGTTATTACCGCCAGGGAATATATATATTCTCTCCCGAAGGACCGCCTATATATTTATATATGGGTATTATATAGCTCTTTTATAAAGCTATTTTCCCCGTAGTTAGCAAGGCAATAACGAATAACTAACTATATAGGGTGCTCTATAAGCTTTTTATTAACCGATATCTTCGTTTCAAACGCGGACGGTTTTTATAAATCGAGAGCCCATCATTAACCTGAGATCCACATCTACTATGTATATCTAGCGATTTCCACGCTAATAAGCCCAAGGAATCGGCAAGGCTCACTGCAGACAGCTCATGAGTGATACCTTATGATATAACCTTTTCACGTCCATCACTCCCATCACAGTTGATCACTCGCGTTATCAATTAGCCAACATCCAACCCATATGCACTTTCCATTTTCCATTTGCATTCATTTTTCAATTCTAAAATAACGACAAAGATCCAAACCAGTAGAGGAAAAGAATAATTTTTGAGAAGAGGAGGAAACAACCACCTATTCACACGACATAAATCCACCGCCAGCGGTAAGAGAAAGAGGAAGAAAAGAACGGCAAAAAAAAAAAAACAAACCACAAAACACAAAACACCCATGTACAATCCAGGAAATGAAGGGGCAAGGGGGTTGGAGGGGGTGGGGAATATGTAGTGTAAAGGAGACCTGGTAGCGTACTTATTAATGTCCATGGTTCGTAAGAGCAGAAGATTGAGGGGATATAGAAAAAGAGGAAAGGGCGGAGGTAGGAGAGGATAAGGGAAGAAGAATGTCATAACCAAACAAACATACCACGCCCAAGTGTAAGTAGAAAAGCAACAACGTCCAGATGGGGGTATTAACAATCCAAGCCAGCCAAAAGCGCATAAAAAAAATCCAAGCCACAATAAAATTCCACGTAGCCAGCCAATCCGAACCCGCTTAGTCAGAATCAAAACGCAAACCGGTACCAGCAACCAAAACATAAAGCCAAAAACATTACCCACAGATCATATGCCATACGACAAATCCTCCACCACATGCGGAGCGCTAAGCATAAGTTCTTCCTCCGCCAGCAGCCTCCCCTCCTCTTTGCCCCGGTCAACATTCACCGCCGCAATCAACGGTATCGGCAATGCAAGTAGCACAGCAAGAAACCAGAACGCATATCTGATATCGCCATATTTATCTGTAAGCGCGCCTACGATAGTAGGACCGAAGATGCTGGAGCCCTTGTCTGTGACAGCATACAAGGCATAGAAAGCGGCCTCGAATCCTGGTGGTACTGTTCCCTAAGTCAGTACACAAGGGCCATTCATTTTCAAGGGACGAGAAGCTGTTACTTAGTTCGCCATAAACACTCCGGCAGTATCCGCTCACTCCGCCGAGGACAAAACCGTACACGGCACCGAGGAGATACATCTCCCATGGGCTCGTCAACCCGCCAAACCCAGACTCTTGAACCGCAGGAATGAAACCCAAGAGACCATATAGCGGGATCAACTCGAATACCATGCAGCAGATGAGGATAGTCTGACTTGGGGTCCTCTTGAAGACCTCAGCGATACGAGGCCATGCGAAAGCACCGCCAACACCGGAGACAGTAGAGATAACTGATATAAAGGCCAGCGCAGCAGGTTTCATTTTGAGATTCTGGAAGCCCAAAGAAGGATTGGTTAAAAGTTAGGACTGTATATTTTTCTAATATTTTCACAATTTGTGTTTGGGAGGGAGAGAGGGCATACAGTCTTCGCGAACAAAACCGCCGTGCCGCTAACTGTAGCTACACCGTCACTGACTAAGAACCACGCCGCCAGGAAAAGCATGATGTCTTTCAATCTCCGCGCTCTTCTAATTGTCTTGTACAGTCCCTTCCAGGCGTACTTGATGTAGCCCCACCAGCTACGATTGCCTTCTAGCAGCCCTGTCAACGCGCTTCCATTCATGTCTTCCATGGGTAATTCTGGTAGTGGAGGGCCAGGCCGAGGTCTTATCCACATAGCTGTAGGAATGGTGAACATAAACCACCAAAACCCTACGAAAAACAGCACGAGCTTCAAGGACCAGGTTGTGGACCCCGTCAAGAGAACAAGGATAATTGCAAATATTTGAAGTATAACTGCAGCAGTGTAGCCAATTGCTATCCCATAGCTGCTGATTTGGCTGCTTAGTATTAAAGATGGGCTACTCTTCCCTCTCGTGTCCTCAACTATTATGCCGGGAATATCTAGGTTTGGTTGCGGTGAGTTTCCACGTAATAAATAATCCTCCTCGCTATCTGGTGTTCTGATGACCGGCGAAGCGGTGATGGGGGTCTCTGCATAGAGCAACTTCGGGTGCTGCCGTACAAGCACGGGAAGAAAGGCATTCAACAACACAAATGAGGCTCCAAAGCCAATGTTACCAAAGATTGCCCACACAGCCGCGAAAAGATAAAACTTCTGCGTCACCGTGATGAACATCATGGTAGACGCACTACCAAAAAAGGCAAAGACCAGTAGTAGACGCTTCCTGTATGCTCCTTCGGGGCCGTCAATAATCGCAAGAGGGAGTTGAAACCCGGGACGTATTTACCGTGATCTGCGGCTCCAGACATGGAAACTATTATGAGGGATTGAAGTAGGACAGATAAAGAAAATGTATACCTGAAACCGAGTTTGTTAGTATTCCAAGTCACGTCTCACGTCCAGTCGCGGATAACAATAACTAACATTGCAAAAGAAGCAGAATTCATCTGCCAGCCCAAGATGTCTATCACGCACTGATCTGAAGGCGAACCATCTGAGAAGATATCTGTGCCAGGACCGAGGCCAATATCAGGCCCTGTTGAATCTCCGCACCGTAAGGACTTGTCGGAGAGCAAATGTCCATTGTCTCTAGCAAGCTGTTCAAGGGTGACAGGTATAAAGGAGCCTACGCCACAGACTACAAATACCTCTGCAGCCCATGCGTACGAGTACCAGCCCATCAGCTCCTTTCTGGACGTGGATCGCACATCTTGGCCGGGAAACTGGGGCATTTGAGCTCGGTGTGAACGTGAACGGTACTCGTCTTCCCCGATGTCGGAGAAGGAGCGCTCGTCGTCAGCATCTTCGGGATCTGGATCTAATAGTGCCCGGTAATGGGGGGCGGCTGCCTGGGCGCGCATAGTGAGGGATGGACGAGAGAAGGGGAGAGGAGGAGGGGGACCAAAAGAGCTCAACACTTGGACAGGACCCTTGCCCAATCAAACCTTAGTCATCCGTAGGACTACGGGATATACCGAGCGGATCGTTTACATAGCCCTGAGCCCTGAGCAGGTTGATTGACTGGCACTGTGTTGTGTATTATTATTAGAGCCGAGAGCACACGTCATAAGTCAGGATATTATCCGGCTATCCCTCACCCGGGGTGAGTGCTACCAACTGCTCTCTCTCAGGTTGCAGCTGGAGCTGTGCTCCACCCATGGCAATGCCTTAAACTTATGATAACTACATATACCAATACTAGAAGTCGAAGAATTCTGTAATATGATATGGCATTAAATTCCAGTGATGAGCGCAAGCTGGGTAGCTAGATGAAACTTTGTTGTCATGGGCAATGACATTGCCAGCATCAATTAACCCTGCCTATTGTTTATTAACCCTTATCGATATTCCTTGTCTCGCTCCATGAGCTTAAGTGTGTAGATAGATACATGTACCTAAGCTTAAGATCAGTGTAGATACCTATAAATCTCTAAAATTTCCATGAGACTTTCCCCAGACGCCTAACACTCGATCAGATTCTCCATATTAATTTAGCAACCTACACCGTGTATTTAAAGGGTGTTGGCAAGTGATGCACATTTTGAAAAAATTAACGCCCAAATACCTAGAGTATTCCATCACAACACAACACACTCCCCAAGTTCGGTACTTAGATATGAAATATCTATTTACTTACCTGGCAATGAGCCACGCTTATGAGGCAGTAAAAAATATGTATGTATTAAATGAGACGTCTTTTGATTCCTCCAATATTGTGAAAGCATATATTTGAACACTGATATTGACCTTGAAACCGAGTACGCATCATTCCCAGACACCCTAGCCATGTGTACTAATATATTAAACAATATTGAATTATTCTATGGCGATCGATCTAATGTGAGACCAGTGCCTGGCGCTTAGCGCTGAAATAGCTTCAGGGCGTGCACTGCTACTTACGTGTTGAAGCGCGCTGAATGCCAGTAGCACTTGCCCCACAACATCCCTTACATGCATTTAAGCACACGTTTCTTTGATGTAATATTTGTTCATACATCATACTCTAGAGTGTTCCTAATAAGGATGATATAGCACATACTGACCCTGTAGATATATAACCATTTATTCGCTCAAATAGAGTATAAATCATAAATAAACTTTGCTCATTCATACAGTAACCAGTGGCTGCCCAGGTACCAAACGCTCAATCTCTTCATAGTTGTTCATTAAGTGACGCCTCTGTATAAGTAGATAGCTCCTCACCATAGCCATATCGAAACCGATCTCTTGGCCAGTATTGACCGTACTGATCCACCAGGCTTGATCTTCGGTAAAAGGACGAGTCCCAGTCTCCAAGTCGTTCAGAATTTGCTCCCTGTTTTGCAGGATTTGAATTGCCCTAAGAACGTCATAGGATATATTCAACGAACTTCTGACCTTGAGATTGACTATAATGTCACAGGTTTAGTAGGAGCCTTTGTTTAGATCGACACAATATAGCTTCAACTTACCTGCTTTGTGGGTTTTTTTGGCCGCAGTTGCTTTCAATCTGTCTCCCCTAGAATTAAAATAGCCAAAAGCAGAATACCCCACCCAAAGGGCACCAATCGCCAGAGTAGGCCAACTGGCAACACGAATTAGAGGCATCGCGCGCCCCCCTACAGCCTGAGTAACTTTGACCGAAGTGTAAATTTTCCTCGCTCCTATCCCAACCCCTACCGCCGTATATCCCGCTTCGCCGACCCACCTGTTATCTGCGCGCTGAAGAGCATATCGTACATCTCTTGATTTGCGGTAAATATGATGCAGGAAGATTCAATAGCCCCGTATAGTTCGTTACAAATGGTGACTGTATCTCTCGCCATAAAGTCGTAATCTTTTGAATCAACTGTATTTAGTGTATATACGATACTGTCTATAAAAATATAGGTTTCACTTACTTCCTAATCTCTCTAATTCCGTGAATACAGAATGAATCTGTGCTTGATAATGCCTAGCCTCTGTTTCAAAAAGTTGATTTTGCCTGTTCACCGGAGAAGATAACATGTCGGACTATTGTCATCAGCAATCGCCTCAGTATATATAACCTACATGTAGATCCAATCTCCTCCAATGCAAAGTTGTACTGATCCACATACTATGTATCTCTTGAAATAACGCGCCGCAGCATTAGAAGCGACTGTCAACTGATTGGAATCACTCTGTTCCCAAGAGCTTAGAGACTGTACACCGGCCCTCGCCATCGATTTCAAGACTAAATCAAAACACAATACACCCCCCAATTCCAGAAAGAGAAAATGCACCGTCATTGCCCTATCGAGTAAGAACCGAAATCGTCAGGTTATATATCCACTGATGCCTATAGCATATATACAGCTACCAATCGATCAAACCTATACTCAGTTTTAAAACCACCACGGGTTTATATAACTTGGGTCCGATTTTGACCTATTGGTGGATATAGCACTATTCGCTTTATACATACCATCTAGGCCATCGCCTATGATTGGTGTTGGCTTCAGGGAATGTTGTGAAGAACCCCGGACCTAGTTGGGCACAGCTGTGGTATAACGCCCTTGTCCAATATTGGCGGAAAATTGGTGATAGTGGAGAAAAGCCCAATCTCTCTAAAGACGTCAGGGGTCTAGTGATAGGCCCCGACCTCTGGTGAAACATAAGATTACAAAAATCTTCGGCGGCGCTGTGGAATGTGCTCCCGTGAGGAGATAAGACGAATTTTATCTATCGAGATTCAAACACTGATTAGGTAGGCTACGGAGTGAAAGATCAGGAGGGGACTAACGAACTCACCCTTACAATAGCTTCTCCTCTATCGTCAGGTATTGCGATGTGAGAATCATACTTCAGCTTTGAGTATGCGTTACTGGCCCTATCTATGCGGAAAAGTAGGCGGAGGAAGCTGTCGACCTCTTGACGATATTCGTCAATGTCATTGTAGTTTCCATTGGCGGGGTTGACTTCGATATCATATAAAACGCCGTCAAGTACTTCGCCCATAGGATCGTATGGGGGCGGAGGTGTAGAGGGACGAGAAGGTTCAGGCTCAAACTTTTTTATTTGTAGTTCTCGTATTTCTTGTAGTTCCTTCTTTAGATCTTTTGATTCTTCTGGTTTTTGATTTTGATCATTTGTTTTCGGTGCTGTAGGCTCCATTGTTTTTATACTCAAGTCGAGTTTATATAACAGATGCTAGAGGTTGCTTGGCTGTTGTTGGAGAGAGAAATAACTTGGTTATTGAGCTGAAGCTGGAGTTTCCTGTTGTTGCAATAAAGTGTAAGTGTCAATAAGCTGGAACCGGGGAGCTAGAGCTACATACATACCCTCTCGTACGTACGCGTATCTACTCCAAGTTTGGGTTCAGTCGTCCAACTTGTGGAGTAAGAAGAGTAGGACCGATCCCTCCCTTAAGGCGCGGTGAACTCCCGGGTTTTCAAGGTGTACTATGACAAGGCAGTATTGATCATTTTTACCCTTCGGGAGGGCGCAAAAGGGCAGTTTAGGCATCCCACCACAATACATGTTATTACAACCAATGAACTGACTGAGTTATAGCCACTTCTGGGTCATTGACGAATCGACATAGAAGCCAGGTAAAGTTAAAGTGCTGAGCCTCGTTTTGCTTTCTTTTTGGAGTTGGTTTATGCGCCTGGGAATTAACGACTCAGGCAAAGGTACATGAAGTTAAAGCGGTTATACCACCGTAACATGTTTTTATAACTTATAAACCATTGGATACTCGTGTAAAATCACTATAGTGGCGGATAGCGCCAGTTTCAACCGCCAATCCAGGCTATAGGACGGACAGAATAGATTCCACTTATCTAGAGTACCGTACCAGTTCTATCATAGGTTTGGTCGACCAAAGTAGAGTTTTATGTAATGGGACACTGTTACCCTCGATAGGCTGGTGTACGTACTCTGCTGATTCAGACTGCGAGTCAATAGGAGAGAGGCACAAATCCTTGGCTGCATGCACCCCTTCTCACACCAAAGAAACCCGTGCTTACCTGAACAACTCCGACTTGACCTCCACCATGGCCGACGCTGACAGCGATTCGAATTCGACCGTTGAGCTCCACCGTGACGATGATTTGGCCCTTGAGCTAGAGCGCTTTGGGGACCGTAATAGAGGCGCTAGGGGTCATTCGAATACCTCTCTCCTGTCCCAGGAAGTCCACGACTACGGTAGTGTTTGTATTGACAGCGTCCGGCTACCGTTTCTTGCCGATTCAATAAGACAAGATGCTGTTTACCATTACGGGTGCATCAAAGAATTGCAGTCACCAAAAAACCCTGATACTGGCAGTGGTAGCGAGAGCTCCGGTTGTTACCCACTACCCCACACTTCTCGATGAATGTTGCGAGCGAAAAAGAACATTGTTAACAAACAGATAGTTAGCGGCTCTATAGTTCTTGTTGAATCCTACAAAGAGATGGAGGCGGAGCGTCTTCGCAGTTTAACAATATTTCGGGATCTATTGCTGGCCGACCTCACAAGCCTGCTTGACAAGATCCAGGAGCTAGAAAATAAGCTTCTAGGAAGGAAAGAACGATATCAGATGTATGACCTTATTTCCTACGGGTTGTTGACTGAAACAGAACGCGCAATTATACTAACCCACGCGCGCGCATCATTTAGAGCCAGCAGGATACATTGTGGACTAGGTCTTGGGCTTGTGGGTATGAGTGCTCATTGGTTCAAACCGCTCATCTTGAAATCATCATCATACGACCATTATTTGATGAGCTATAGGTCAGAGATTAGAAAGATTTGCACTATCTTCACCGCGATTGGCGTATACACCTTGTACATGTTACATTCTGCGCATAGGTATAGAAAGGCCATGGCCTCTACTTCTAATATGAGAAAGGAAATAGCTAGATTTGTCCGCAAGGTTGAGAAGAAGCAACTTTTGGTTGATAAGGATATCGAGGGTTTGAAGGGAGCAAAATGGGATGAGGTGCCATGGAAAGAGGTGGAGACTGAGCCCTCGTGGAAATTGCTGTCGGGCTTATAATTATACACTTTTGACAGTAAACACATGTAACGATAAAACAGAACTCGACACAAAAAACTGCGTAGTTAGACTTAACGCGAGGCTGATCTAAACTCGAAGCGGTACACACCAAAGATATTAAGCCAATATATCGTGGTTTGGTCAGCTCAGTGATGAATTGGTTTCACGACCATCCGTATCCTTTCGACGTTCAGGCCAAATCTTCATGTGTTACCGAAACGTATGCATAACGAATGCTGTCTCATTGAGGTTATGCATCGCCTTAACACCCTCAACCATCACCAACCAAACCAACTTACCACTCTCCACATCCGAGCCGACCACCACAATCCGCCGCCCACTCGGAACACCCTCTCAATCCAGGACTCCATGCAGCCACCCCCTCTCCCGCTCGGCCATAATCAAGGGTTGTGATACTTGTGATATCGCTTATGCGGGAACCACCCGGCACCATTTCCCGAGTGATGTTTCATGAGCCGTTGTCCCCGGCCGTGGCATGCAGCACGCTAACGCTAACCTTAATTCTGTTTTCCTCCCGTTGGTCTCTTGCTACGACGACCGACTCCTCAAGAACGGATAATTATAGCAATACCTGGGGAGACCTTTTTTCACAACTCCTGCCCTGCTCCGTATTCTAACGGTGCGGGAGAAGTTCATGCATCATCCTGGCGCCGCCCCCCGTATGTGATGGGCGGATAGGCACTATTACGACTTTACTGCTCCTGAGACTGGGTGATAATCCTTGAATCGGGCCGTGGGGCCCTTTGCCTAAATTCTATGGGAAGAAGAAGAAAAAAAAAGTACACAGGTGAGTTGTGTATGTAGCGGAATTTTGAGGCCCCCAGTTATTTTTTTGATGATGATAATGATAATGATATCGGTTATGGTAGCCGATTCAGTTGATCAGATCCAATTGACCGCCGACGGTAAAAACGGAAGAAAAGAAAGAAAAAAAATATCTACAATGAAAGACTTTTTAAGGATAGGTCGCAATACCGCCAGTTGGAAGATGGCAGTTGCAAAAAAAGAGGCTTTAGAAAGACACAAAAGAAAGAAAAAAACGCGCAGGTTTTGTCGTGCACACACAAAAACAAAAAGGAAAAGCAAAAACTCCCCAACACCAAAGGAAAGAAAAAAGAAAAATGATAAATTATACAAATGGAGACTCAGAGACATCAAATTCTCCGTGGCGCAATTGGTTAGCGCGTCCGACTGTTAGAATATACTCCTCCAGAGTTGTTCTTCGGTATCGGGAGGTTGGAAGTTCAAGCCTTCCCGGGGAAGATTTTTTTGTTCTCGCTCGCTTTTTTATCCGGTAGGGGTATTCGTTGCAAAGGTCGGGGGGGAAAGGCTTGGCCTGCTAATTGAATAGCATGTGGTATTTCTCCATTTGTGCCCTGAACCAAACAATGATGATTAGCGTTGTACAAACAAACAATAGGGTACAATTGCTTTTCCAACAAATAATAGCAAATTCCCAAAGAAGTTAAAAAGGGCAACTCACAAGTTCGCGCGCTTGCACTCCTTCTCCACAAAATATCTCATCCACCCCTGACAACTCCCCTCAATCAGCTCCGTCACCTTCGTCTTCCCGCCCTCCACCTCCTCAAACGTCCTCAGCTTCCATATAAACACGCCCTGCTTCTCCGCCACACTCTCATAGAGGCAGCACCTCCCCTCCCAGTCTGCCGTCTGCGAGCCGCGGATGGTGACCTTGTTCTTGAACAGGCCCTTCATGAACGGCACCTTCTCCTCGAGCACGAAAGTCGTGCGCTCGAGGCCGCTCTGTGCGGCGGCGGCCGAGGCGGGGAGCGAGGATGTGCCGCGCGCGGTGGAGAGGAGGCCGGGGGAGATGGAGATGCTGCGCGTTTCGCCCGTGGTGAAGGTTGTGCAGAGGTCCGAGAGGCGGGCGACGGTCTCGAGGTTGCTGCCGGAGGTGAGGACGGGGAAGACAGTGGTGAGGGAGTAAGGCAGGACGACGCTATTTGTGCTGGTGAAGTTTGCGATGGGGATTTCGGGGGCCGGTGGGGGTGTTTTGGAGTCGGTGACTGTCATTGTTGCTGGTGGGGGTGTGGGAGGTGAGGTGGGTGGTGGGTAGTGAGAGTACTGCTGGTGCTGAGGGTGCCTGTGAGAGAGCTGTAATGACTGACAGACGGGCTTATACTAGACAGATAGCTACTACAGACTGACTTGATATACTACTGGCAGGAAAGTAACGAGCAGTGCAGAGCAAAGGAACGAAGGAGGAGGAGAATCGATAAGTAGGTAAAAGTAGGGAAACCGATATCTAAGTAAAAGGGAAAAAGCCCTCGACTCGTTATTTCACTAGCTAGCTTCTACTACTCTACAAAGCCATAGCCATAGCCATGGTTCCCGGGCCTTCGGCGCCCCCCTGACTTTGGTCGGGGACCTGTCCCCGACGAGGTTAGTTCGACCCGGCCGCCCACACTCTCCCTCCCACCCCTCCACCACCACACACACCCCATTCTCTTCGCCGGTAGATCATGCAGGAGATCTTGAGTGAGGAGGGGCGAGGGGACGTGGTTTCGGGAGGGCCCGACGGTGTGAATTCTCCGGGAAGTGGGTTTTTTTTTTTTTTTTTTTTTTTTTTTTTGGGGGGGGGGGTCGAGTGCGAGGCTGTGAGTGGGATGTGAGTGGGATGGGGGATGGGGGTTTGGCTCATGTGGTAGGTCATGTAGTCAGTAGCAGGTGATAGTGGTAGTAGTAGTGGTACTGGTAGGCTCGTGGTAGCAGAGTACATCTACATGTAGGTAGAGCACTGCAGTAGTGCTGTGGTTCAATCGGTACCTGCATATAGAGGCTAGCTGTTTCTGGATGTTGCGAGCTTACGAGGGTGGAGTGCTGGTACTGCTAGCTAACCGGGTTGGATAGAGTAGAAGTACGGCACTTTACTCTACTGCGGTACTCTCCTCCTCTACTTACAACTCGATAGCCCGCAATTCACTCTATTCGTCCATACCCATACCTACATGTGCCCTCTACTACTCAGTCCCACTCTTCTCCCCTCCTACATCCCTCCATCCCCACCACCACCACCACACGCAAGCGAAATGAAATGAGGCCGCAATCTTAGTCCCACTCCTACACCAAACCCCGGCCAAGCGCAAGCCTCACACACACATGCACACCAAACCCTGAATCTGTAAACCCTTCCCAACGGTCCCAGCGACAGTATGAACCAAGATCACTTGCACGCCCACACCCATTGCTTTTCTCTCTGAGTTTTTATTTTTTTGTGACGAGGGGATAACGTAACCTGCAAGCGAGCTCAGTGAGTGGAAATTACATTGACTCGCAGCTTAACTGTAGAGCAGAGATACCTGTGTAGAGTTGGAATTCAAGGGCCCAGCGCTATGCACAAACCGCTTCGTGAACTGTCTGCAGGTGGAGTAGGAGGAGTATCGATGGACGGATCCCGGGTGCGGGAAATGAGTGGTGCCTGCCAAGATCGAGGCGGAGGGAAAGCTACTAGAAGAGAGAGAAACCTTTGACGGCAGACAATCTAGGGGGGTTTGGTTTTAGTCTGGTTAGGGGATGGATGGAATTGAAAGACAGTCGGTCAGTTTCGCTCGTTCGGTCGGGTAAATAGGATGTAGATATCTAGGTCAATCATGTGTATGGCACTGGTTCAGGATTATATTTGGGTGTGTGTGATAGGCGATGCGGTTTCTGACCTCTACCTAGGTAGAGTACAACTTTGACGGGCGATCTCCCCAAGTGACGGGACCCGGTTTAACCTTCCTGGAGGCCGGTTGGAAATGGGAAGGAACCCGGTGCCATGTATGGTGCCTCTAGCTCTCCGTTTAATCTATCTTTGTATTTCAACCTAACTGTATGTGTTTTAATCTCTGCCTGCGAAGCTCGAGCTTCTTCTTCTTCTTTTCCTTTGTCTGCGTTGCACGCGCAGGGAGCTAGCTATCCCATGAACCGTAGAAGCCTGAGGTTCCAATTGGGTACTTTGCAACTCTAACCTCGATAAAAACACAAAAACGATATAATCCAGCCCTGTTCACTAATAACAAAGAAGCGGGAAAGTTTATCAACCGATCCCAATAAGAGCTCCTAATATAGTACTCACGAAGCTGGTGTTGCTGTGAATTTAAGAAAGGTCACTTTATTTCAAGTGAGGCCCAATCGGGTCCTTAACTCGGTTGCTACGGTTGATGGGATAGCGAGCTTCGGCGACCAAACGAGATCAAGATATTGCCATTCCATATAGAGTTGCAATTGCTCTCTCTCACTCTACATGATCAGCTTGATCACCTAGTGCCTACTTATCTACTACCTACCCACCTACTCTACCTACTCGCGCGAGTACCTGTTTCCTCGCGGACCAGAAACCTGGCAAGTTGCTCCAGTTTCTGCCTCAGCCCAAAGACATAGCTGATCAGCGCCGATCTCTCCCTCTGATACATTGTGTAGCACTCCACAAAGCCATCGGCGAACCCATGATCGTGAGACTTTGGGGTAAACATGAATCTGTCCCTCCATAGCCTGTACGGGGCGAACAAATGAGACTCGGAGAGGACGTGGTACAGCAGCTGGTTCTGCACCGCACAGAACTCGATCTGGTACTCGAGAAATTCGATTTGCTGTTTCATATGTGTAATCATGTGGGCGTTGGAGTTTGCCATTTCGGTTTTGGTTTTTGATTACTTTCTGCTAGCTAGGCTTGCTAGTTGGTCTGAATTGAGGTCAGTGGTTAAATATGCTCGCTAGCTTGTAGTTGGAGAGATAATCCGGCAAGGGCACTCTTATATATATCAGACCCTGCAGCGGAGCAGGAGCCGTCAGTCAAACCCTTGAAAAGCTACGCATCTTTCAAGGTGTGTGTGTGTGTTCATGATAGATAGTAACAATCGCCGGAAGGTTGAAAGCCTTATTTCGTAAACATGTGCATAACGCGTACTTCTCTCCGTTGACCCGGGGCGGGCATGCACACCATTAGCGCAACAAAATTGACGAAGAGCACGGGCTCGCAATTACGTACCCAAATTTGACTTTCATATGCGTCCCGAACTAACCCCTGGACCCCTCCCCCCCCCCCGGTGCCCGGCAGAGATATTGCGGTACCGAGTGGGTACTAATGGGGACGTTTTCTAACGCTTAGCCTTCCTAGCTAGGGGACCCTGAGGTTGCTCTATCTTCTCGGGTGTTTGTGTGTGTATGTACCTTTTGCGAGGCACCAACACGCACCGTTAATTGAGAGAGATCCTTCTTATTTAGGGCTTCGGTGAGTTTTGTTTTTCTCTAGAATACTGCTAACTAGACGTCGGGGCTGTCGATCCAATACTCGCATCAAAAATTGCCGAGCGGCGCTACAGGTCAACGGCGGAACTTACACCGTCCTATACCAAAGAGAGGTAGGATCAATCCCAATGGCAGGTTCAGGAGAATTGGAATTAGATGGTTATAGTCTTAGCCTGAACGTTAGTGTCATGTAATATGGGCTTGTTCTTGATAATCATATTGGCCAGCTGCAGGCAGGTATCACGAACCTCGAGAGTTTATCCATCAGCACATCTTGTACCTCGGAATGTGAACAGGCAATTCAATTGTCGCGAATTGATGCGTGCTTTTCGCAAGATAGCAATGCCGGATTATTCGGTGTTTAAGATAGAGAGCGGGTGAGCCGGAAACGTGGATTATATTATGGAAGGGCCCAAATCTCTCTCGAAGCAGCTTGCGCTGGTCGGATACATACCCGTTGCCTTGGTCACTGGGACTTTGATATGTACCGAGATTCTTTTTTCCACTACCGGCCCTTGGGTAACTGTTCTTTAATTAATTCAATCAATTACCTACCAATCAACTCGCCAGCAGTAATAACCAACTGATTAGTTGAGAGACAGGCATCTCATCAAGCCTTCTGAAAACGGTTTCTAAATGAAGTGCTCATTAATTAAGCATTCGATCTCGACTCTTTCTCCAACGCAGCCTGAGTCGCCAGATACTCACTCTGAAGCCCCTCTCTATACCTCTCCAACGCTTCCCTCTGTCCTACATACCACTTACAGTTCCTTATAATCCACCTAGGTATCTCCCCCTCCTCCTCCCTGAGCTGCTCCTGCTCTCTTTTGATTTCTTGCAGGTCACTAGTCTCCCTAGCAGACAGGTAACCAGACTGCAGCCTTTCCTGGAGGCCAACATAAGAACGGTAGTCTATGAAATTGTCCAATAGCCGCTCCTGCAAGTGCATAAAGGTGCTGTAGGGGTTGCGCTCGTCGTCGAAGTGCAACACGAGGAGGGTGATATTACTTTGAGTGGCGCAGAACTTGATCTTGTAAGCGAGTACGGAGAGATGGTGCTCGAGGTGGGTAGTTACGTGGGCGTTGTGGTGGGTATTCATGTTTGCGAGTGGGTGTAAGTTGGTGGTTGATATAATATGCTTGGTGGGTTACTTATGGGTAAATGGGTAATTGCGCTTGATGTTCTTTCTGCGATTTGCCGTAGATGATGCTTTATATATATGAGTGATTGTTGGGCCTATCTTTGGTCTTGAGTGTTTTGGATTTTCATCTTGAAACAGTTGTATGTCGGTAGGATTCAATATGGCAAGCAGGCATTATACATATCAAGATGATAGATAGTAGTAGGACAACCTTCAAGACGTAGCGAAGAGCTAGCCTCTTAGTCCAACTGCATAAACGTACCTATAGCAATTAAGACGTTGACATTATAGCGGCTATATCCCGTTACTCCAAACAGAGTGAACTGCGCGATCAAATGAGTCAAGAAGAGTTGGAAACACAGTCTTTTAATACCGACAAGTACATAACCACAGATGTATATAGCGACAGGTCGTTGTGTTCCATCACTTGTTGCTTACCGCCTTACATACACAATATAAACGTTGTCAAATACTAACAAATATCCACATATCACAAGTATTATCCGTAAGAATAAGTATGTAGCAAAGACCACAAAACTACATGTACAGTACGAAAAAACGGGGGTGAAATCGGTACGTAATCAAACCGGCATTACAAAGCGAACACCGTAGCAATGTTGTATTCCTACTGCATTACTAACGCATTAACGGGAATAATGTAGCGAATCCATAGCCTTTTTTTTTGGTATTGTAACATACCTAGCATCTAGAGACCACCAGCGCGGGCCTACTCGTACTTGGTATTTACATGTAGCTAGATCTAGGGGCTGCATGTAGCGATTGTAATATTACTTATGATCTAAGAAGAGGTTTCATATAATTTGCCCCCTAGGTGTTTTTATATTTCATTGTGTTTATCCTCATACCAATTGCAATTGCAAGTGTTTGCATAACCCTAAACCCGCGCGCCGCGATAATACCCACTTTTCTTCATTACCGGCGTAAACAAAGACGGCGATCTTGAAGTACACCGCAAGGGCTATTGGTACATACACATACATGTACATACACGTACTTTCATATCCAAATTGCTCAATCTCAGCTCTGCAAATCCAAGTGTGGCTACATGTACTCTAGGTGTTAACCCAGCCCCATGCACAACTTGCTTGAGGGCGTCCTTCACACGACATCACTCGTTTTTTCTTTTTTTCCCCTAGCGCGCAATATGCAAGGCTTCTCCGGTCCGGCGCATTAAATGACTTCCTCCCTCCTTACTTGCAACTTGTTCTTTTTGCCAACAAAGCAAAGCAGGACAAAAACCAAAACAAATAAACAGAGCTGATATGGTTAATAAAAAATAAAAGATAAAAAATAAAAATATACATGTACATTGCCAATATCCATATCTACTTTTGCGAATTGACTTTGACTAACGTTAAAAACTATAGGTAAGTTAAGTAGCAATAAGCTGACAGCATGCATGGCCGTATAACCAGGGCTCCAAAAAAAAAGGACAAACCAAACCAACAAAACCAAAACCAAAAGAAAAGAGAGTAAAGGGGAGCCTCCCAGATGTAAAAAGTAATCTCAATTCGTTACCACCCACCAACCAACCAACCAACCAATCCATCCGTGCCATCCCTTAAACAAACGAAACCAAAGAAGCCAAAGCGCCATTATAAACTACGACCAAAAAGAGAGAGCTCCACATCCAAATCGTTTTTCCATTTCCCCACCCCCCAGTCTCCCATTACCCCCACATACCCCTCTTCCTTCCCTCCCTCCCTACATCTTCCCGACATGCGCCTGCGGCGGCGGCCCCGGCGGCGGCATATTATAATAATCGCTCTCCCTCGTCCCACCGGTGCTATGCTGAGCCACGCCTTCCATACCCTGCGGCGGCGGCCCGGGCGGCGGGGGATAATACGGCTGCTGCTGCTGCTGCGGCGTAAACGGGGACGAAGCGGGCGGCATGTTCGGGCTGGGCGTGTACGGTGGCGCGGGGGCGGTCGGGGGCGCGTAGTACTGCGTGTACTGCGGGTTGTTGGGGTCGTAGGGCTGCGGCTGGCCGTACTGTGTGAATGGTGTGCCGTTGTTGTTGTTGGGGTCGTGTGGGCGGAAGGGCATCCAGGCAGTGCCGTAGTAGGGCTGGAGGCCGCGGCGGCGGCGGCGGCGGGTTATGCAGCTGTGGAGGAGGGGATTGGGGTTAGCTTTGAGATAGGGCTTGGTGGAGACGAGGGGTTTGGGGGGCAATTGGGAGGGGGGGGAGGGAGGGCTTACGCGCAGAGGGAGAAGAGGATGAGGAAGGCGATTATGATGCCAGCGATGAAGACCCAGCGGCCCCAGGAGTACCAGTTGGAGTAGCAGTCATCGTAGTTGTCGTAGTAGCGCCCGTTACAGCTACATTGAAAGGGTTGTTAGTCTTATCTGATATATAGAAGTACATGTAGATAATGAAAGTGAGGTGGGGAATTTAGCGTACTAATAGGTGTTGTCGTAAGCGTTATCGTACGTCGACTGTCGACTCTTCAGACGTTGGACCACGCCCTCCATCCTTGTTCGTGAGGAGAGAGAGAGTGAGTGATAGAGTATGAACGAACAATACAATGAAGATCAAGATCAGGAATCGATAAGATGCAGCTGCTGTCTGATTGCTATCTTTATCTCTCTATTCAAAAAAGTGTTTAACGCAAACGCAAAAAAAAACAACAACAGAGAAATCCCAAGTGATAAGAAGTGTTTTCAACAGAAGGGGGAGGAGGAAAGTGAGGGTGCTTTTGTGTTGGCAGAAGCTGTGGCCCGAACAAGCCAATGGCTCGTCACACATGTCTGTCTTGCCTCTGCAACTGGGATAGGATAGGATAGGCAAGAGAGTGGTTTTCGTTCCTTCCTGTATCCATCCATCGAATCCATCCACATCCATGATCCATCCATCCATCCATCCACAATCCACCCACACCCACATCCACATCCTTCCTTCCCAAACAAGCGAGGCGGTGCCGATGACGCGTAAACGGCGTCAGCCATTCCGTCTTGGCCTGCTTGGTACCTGGGCGCCGATCACACTACCAACATACGGGTTTAGGTTTCGTTTTTGTTTGTTCCACCAAACGTCATTCCCGGAAAGGACCTCAGTTCAGTCCCCATCCTGACCTGACGGAGTATTTGCTCGAACTGGCCTTCCTTTCTTTTCTTTTGCTTCTTCACAAAACAAAAAACAAAAAAAGTGCCCTTTCAAAAAATATGCAGTCTCGGAGATATTCCACGGACCACTTTTTTTTTTTTTTTTTTTCACGCAGTGGGCCGGCCGGTCCCCGTGTGTAGGTACTGCTGCTAGTAATTCCCGCCGATTCGAGGGGACTTGATGGCATCACGGGATCGTAAAAATGCATGTACTTTTGGGCAGGTAACAAGACATGACAAGACAGCAGCTACATCTTACTCGAGTATGTATGTACCAGATAGGTACTCTAGAGTACATACCAGCCAGATCCAGAGTTACGAACGAACGGCCTCCGCAACACCGGATACGAACACACACAAATTCCCTCAAGTCTCAAGACTTTTTGTCCGTCTGTCCAAGACAAAGCAAAGCAAGCAGCACAGCACCGCCCGAAAACAATTTGTCAAGACTGAACTCTAGCCTAAATCATTGTCTTGGGAGGAGAGAGAGAGAGGAGAAGGAGACTTCATATGGATGTATGTATATTTGTCATCACCATCACCATCAGACCCTTGACAACCAAGCCGCGGGCTGCGCAGCAATCAGCAATCAGCAGTTAGTTCAAAAAATCCAAATCACCAGTCAATAGTGAGACGGCGACATCTCCGCCAGAACCATTCCCTCATTCCAGAACTAAAGCTTACCATGTATCAGCCCTCCCCAGGGCAGACCCGTAACTCTAGAGTAAGAACCGGTTCGTACGAATGAGTTGATCCGTTCCGTATCCTGACAATGCCTACCTCCACGCACCCTCTGACAAGATCTTACACACATCCCTCCTCCCACCTAGAGAACACTGAGAACTCCAGTTCCCAATAAACCTAGCCAACTGCCAAACCCAAGCCACCTGTATCGCGACCGTTACAAAAGAACGAACGGACCCGCGTAGATCTAGAATAGCTACACTACACACATGTATCCAGCTAGCTAGCTAGGTTACTCTACTCTGCTCTAGAGCCCAGACACAGTGCGCTGTCCATGTAACTCCCACAGGGTCCCACTACAGTATCAGAACAGACTCGTCCACGTAAACCCCCACCAAGTGACCCTGCACTGCACCACACCACCAATAACTCTACCCCCGGTACCTTACCCGGACGCCCACCAACCCATCCACCAACGCCCACTGCACCTCAACAACCCTAACCCACCCGCCTGCAAGCCACTTTACGCGTCTCATCTCGTTCGTCCCGCGCGCGCGCGCGTTCTGCAAGTCATCCGCTCCGCTCCCCTTCCCGCCCGCACGTGTTTCGCGATCCACCCAAGCCACTTAGGAACGTGCCTACATACACTTCAGAAGAAAAAATGTCGCATCGCCACCACCACCGCGCAGCGGCAGACGAGAAGGCGAAGAAGCTGGCGAGGAAGCTGGAGTTGCGTATGTTTTTAATTCCTTGCGCTGTGGTGGTGGTGGTGTGGTTGTTGGTGGTGGGGCTAACAGTGGGGCGCGGCGATGGGGGTGGGGTGTAGATGATTTTACGAACGAGGATGGCGACGAGTATGGTGCGTCGGAGTTTGGGGGGTTGAAAGAGTAGGTGCTCCCCCCCCCCCCACCGCTGGCCTTGGCTAGTATACAACTAGAACGACAACGCTATGTTTCCCTCGATATATATGTCCGTTTTGAAGCTGGGTTCTCTGAGTCTCTCCGTGCAGCTCCTTTGTGCTCCCGGTTGAGTGAGGTCTTTGGCACTGGTACATCCCGCATCACCAGATCTCAACCGGTAGTTACAAGGAGCTCGAGGAACTGAAAAAAAAACTTGGCTACAAGCTTTGGAAAGTGTGTGGAGCTGAATATATGGAGCTTGAAGAACTATGTGGACCTTAAGAATCATATGTTTCAAGAAGTATATGGATTTTAAGGAATGATACAGTATGGAGCTTCAAGAGCCTTATATACGGATTTCCAATACCCACATGAACCCCCAGCTAGATACCCAACTACAAATCCCCCCCCCCCCCCCCCCAACCCTCAGAAACCACAATACTAACCCCCCTCCAGCTACAAAGCCCGCAAACGCCGCAAACTGCACACCCAATCCGCGCACCTGCACGCCACCAGCCCCTCCGCCCACCCACGCCTCTTCCACAACCACGCCATCCACATCACCGGCCACACCGTCCCCCCCGCACGCGAACTCACCACCCTAATCACCACCCACGGCGGCCTCTTCATCCCGCACCTCGACAGCAAGACCATGGCCACACACATCGTCGCCTCCAACCTGCCGCCCAAGAAGCGGCAGGAGCTGGCGCGCTACCGTGTCGTGAGGCCCGAGTGGATCGTGGACAGTGTGGCGGCGGGGAAGGTGCGGCCTTGGGCGGAGTATCGGCTGTGGGAGGCGCCGGGGCAGGGGAAGTTGGCATTTGGGAGTCCGAGTGGAAGTGGTGGTGGGGCGGCGAGTCAGAAGACGGATGGAACTTCAAGTAGGAAGGGGGAGGATGGGTGGCCGGCAAGTTCGTTATCGAGGAGTATGACGATCCCCGCCTCGGACGGCGAAGAAGAGCTCTACTCCGACATGGACATGGAAATCGACGTCGACGTCGACGAAGAAGCGGCACTCCAACCCCCCACCACCGCCGCCGCCCCCACGACCCCCACCCCCACTGCCGCCAAACCCGCCCCCATCACCACCATCAACGGCACCCCCCTCTGGTCCGCCGACCGCATCATCGGCCGCCGCACCCACCGCCGCCACACACAATACTGGATCCGCTGGACCGGGTACCCGGACACCGAAGCCACCTGGGAGTCCTCGCGGCACCTGCTGCGCGACCTCGGCAAGGCGGGGCTGGCCGAGCTGGTGCAGGAGTGGCGCGGGCGGCCGCAGCGGCGCGTGGGGCGCGCGGAGGTGCTCAGGGAGGTGCCGAGGGAGGTGTTGATGGTGTTTACGGCCGCGAGGGAGGGGTTTCCGAGGGATTATGGCGTGGGGGAGGTGGAGGCTGCGTTTGTGGGCGAGGAGGAGGTGGGGGAGGCGGAGGAGGGGGGAAAGGCGGCGGTGATGGAAGAAGACCTGTATCGTGAGATACGTGAGAGTCTCTCGCCGCGGAACCTCATGACTGAAGAAGACGAGCTTGCGCTCCTCCAGGGCTCCATCTTCAGCGACGGCCATCTCTCCGCCCCGGCCACAGACGGCACTCCAACGCCCTGGCAGAACCCGATCGCTTCAGACACAGCACCAGCACCAGCGCCAGTCCCGAGCTCCCCCGCCGTCCCTGCGGATCTTCTACAGTCCATATCCATATCCACATCCAGCGACATCAACCTCAACCCCACACCACCCGCAGCCGCAGCGGCGGTCGAGAAAGCCGCAGAGACACCGACAACAACGACACCGACCAAGGGCCCCCCCGGCTCTAGCTCTCAGGTGGGCGCAGTAGACAAAGCCAAAGCCGCAGAAACACCGCCACCAATCCCGAGCTCCGGGTCCGTCCAGGTGTCGCGCAGCTTCGACTACGGGTCGCCGGTCGACTTTGGTGCGCTGGTTGGTGAGCAGGAGGTGTTGGGGGGGAAGGTGTTGGGGGAGGAGGGGGAGGAAGAGAAAGAGGAGGAGGGTGGGGCGGCGAGTTTTAATTTTGGGACGCCGGTGGATTTTGCGGATGGGGATATTGGGATGGTGGTTATGCAGGCGGATCCTGTGGGCGTGGTGGTGGTGGGTGAGGATGTGGTAGATGGGGGAGTTGTAGGTGGGGAAGGTGTGCCTGGGGAGATTGGGGAGCTGGTAGGCAAGGAGAGTATACCTGCTGAGGAGGTCGTGGATTTGGTGAGTGAGGAAGAGGAGGAGAGGGGGAGTACTCCCCGGAACCCAGATTCTTCTCAAGTCGTGGATGAAGAAGCCGTGGCGAGTGAGATTGAAGAGGGTGTTTTTACTACGGACGGTGACGGTGACATCCAGATGTCGCAGGCAGAGCTATTAACGCCCCGCAAGGAGCTCGAGGAGTATGACGCCCGAATATACGACGATGACATCCTCCTCGAGGCTCCCGCAGCAGCTTTAGGCTCTCCCCCTGAGCGGGAGTTATTATCAGAGCACCTATCGCCAGAGCAGCACTCTCCCGATATCCCAGAACCAGATATCCTAGAACCCGAAGAAGAAGAAGAACAAGAAATAGATGTAGATGTAGAGCCACCACCGCCCGACCAGGCCACAACAAAAGATGCCCCTCCCCAGCAGCAACAGCCCTCGCAAGAGCTCATGGCCACCTTCCTCTCCAAGCCTGGGATCCGCTCGCAGACGGTTCTCGACCCAAATTTTCTAAATAGCTACTTCTCGCACAGCCGGCTACACCATCTGAGCACCTGTAAGCACCCTCCCTCTACCAAACATAAACTTAAGAAGTAAAAGCCTACCTCTAACCACTTCCCAGGGAAATCCAAAATCCGCCTCGACCTCGCCCCGCACCTCCTCACACTCACTCCCCAGAAGCAGCGTGCACGGCACTACATCCTGCACGCCGACCTCGACAGCTTCTTCGCCTCCGTCACGCTCCTCACCCGCCCCACGCTGCGCACCAAACCCGTCGCCATCGCGCACGGCGCCCACGACAGCACCGGCGGCTCCGAGATCGCCGCGTGCAACTACCCCGCGCGGTCCTTCGGGCTCAAAGCGGGTATGTGGCTGCCGCGCGCCAAGGCCCTCTGCCCCGAGCTCACCGTGCTGGGGTACGAGTTCGCCAAGTACGAGGAGGCGAGTCGTGCGTTTTACGGCGTTGTGAAGCGCGTGGGTGCGGAGCGCATACATGCGGGGAGCGTGGACGAGGTGCTGCTGGACGTGAGTAATCTTGTGTGTGACGTTGGACTGCAGAGTATTGCGGAGGAGGAGGAGGCGGTAATGAGGATTGCGGAGGGGCTGCGGGGCGATGTGAGGGCTGCGACGGGGGGGCTGGAGGTGTCGGTTGGGGTTGGGGGGAACGTTCTGCTGGCGAAGCTGGCGCTGCGGCGGGCGAAGCCTGCGGGGGTGTTTTTTGTGCGGGCGGCGGAGGTGGCGGGGTTTATGGATGGGGTGGAGGTGGGGGAGCTGCCGGGCGTGGGGCCGAGTGTGGTGGGGAGGGTGGCGGAGGCGTTTGGGACGGGGCGGGTGGCGGAGATTAGGGGTGTGGCGAGGGAGCGGTTGAAGAGTGTGCTCGGAGAGAAGACGGGGACGATGCTGTTTGAGTATTGCAGGGCTGTGGATGCGCGTGTTGTGGGCGAGGTGGCGGTGAGGAAGAGCTTGTCGGTGGATGTGTAAGTGGATCATGGTCTCTCACTCGGTGTTTCTATCCCCGCCGTTCTATCACTTCCCCCACTCATAGCCCATCACTCGGTCTTCACCCCACCCCCCAACTAACACTCCCTCTCTGATTGATAATTCATCCATTGTATTAACACCCCCCCCTCTAGCAACTGGGGCGTCCGCTTCGAAACCCCCTCGCAGTCAGAACACTTCCTGCACCAACTCTCCACCGAGGTCTCGACCCGACTACACTCCGAGCGCCTGCACGGCCGCCACCTCACGCTCACCATAAAACAGCGCTCCCCCCACGCCCCGTTCAAGCCCGCCAAGCACCTCGGCCACGGCGAATGCACAACCCTCACGCGCAGCACGCTCCTCCCCGCGCCCACCGCCTCCCCCGCCACAATCGCCCACGCCGCCGTCGCAATGCTCCGCGCAATGAAGGTGCCCGCGTGGGAGCTGCGCGGCCTGGGGCTGACACTGACGAAGCTGCAAGCTGCTGTCAGCGCGGGTGCGGGTGGCGGGGGTGGACAGGGACTGCTAAAGTTCGCCAAAGCAGAGCCGGCGCCAGCCGCCGAAGGCTCGTCATCCAAGGGTGAGGCAGCGGCGACTAAGGCGGCGGCGAATGTACCCCCCTGGGGCGACCGCCCACTGCCGAAAGCGTACAGCCGCCCGAAACCGGCGTCGCTGCTGGATACGTTCCTCACGAAGCCGAAGCCGACAAAGACGCCCACCCGGCCTGTGCCCGTGGAGCCAGAGTCCGAGGCGGCGACGCCCGCGACGCAGTTCGAGATACCCGAGGACATCGACGAGTCCGTGATCCCGTTCCTGCCGGCGGCGCTGCAGGCGCGCATCCGCGAGAAGCAGCGTCTCGCCGCCCAAGCACAAGCCCGTGCAGAACCCGAGAAGAAGAACGTAGAGAAGGAACAGGAGGCGGAAAGAGAAGAAGACCCGTTGAGCCAGCCGCCGAACTCCCAGGACGACATAACGGTGTGGCGCGCGCTGCCCGCGGACATCCGCGCGCTGCTACGGTCTGAACATGCCGCCGAGCAGGCCCGTCTCTCTGCCGCCTCCTCCGCCGCCACATCACCGCACAAACCCAAAGCCAAAGCCCAAGAGCGCCAAAAACACCACCCCCACCACCCCCACACCCCACGCAAATCCCACCCCCTCCCGCGCCTCCCCTGGGAGCGCTCCACCCCCACCCCCTCCCCCGCCACCACACCAAACCGAAACCAGCCTCCAACAACCGCAGGCCCCTCCAACCCCCACCCCCACAACGCCCCCATCCTCGACGCCCACGGCACCGACGTCTCCCACTGGCTTTTCACCACCGGCGGCATCGACGCCAGCTACTTCCACGCGCTCCCACCACTCGAGCAGCGCCACACCATCGCCCTCGGCGCACGCACGCACCGCGCGCACCTCGCCGCGGAGGCCACGCGTGCGCGGCGTGCGGCCGCAGAGGCGGCACGCATGGCGGGTGCGCTGCGGTTGCAGGCGCGGGAGGAGGGGAGGAGGAGGAGGGTGTTGGACGATGGGACGAGGGTGGGGAGTGTGGCGGAGGTGAAGGATTTTGCGAGGGGGGTTGTGGGCGGGGGGAGGGGGGAGGAGGGGTGGAGTGTGTTGGCGGGGGTGTTGAGGGGGATGATGGAGGAGGGGGCGGTGGCGGAGGTGGAGGAGGTGGTGAGGTTTGTGGGGGTGCTTGGGGAGGTGGGGGAGGGGTGGGAGGTGGTGGTGGAGGGGTTGGGGGAGGTGGTGGGGGGGCGGTTGGGCGGTGTTTAGGGGTGCTTGGCTTAGTTTTGGGTAGCGTTGGAAAAGGCGCTGCTGTGATCATTGACGGGTGGGTGGGTACATGTAGGTACCTGTAGTAGTGGCCATTGTTATAATGCCTGTAGATACCAATTAGTAGAAAGATCAAGACCTATCCTGTTTTAGGCATAACCCAACCCAGCCCAGCCCAGCCCAATCCCATACCCCGGTACATTTACTCTACTGTGGTTAGCTACATGTATAGTAGCCATTATAATAATAACCACCAACCAATCCATCATAACAACCCAAAAGCTACATGACTATTACCAACTACCAACATCGAACCAACTGCAGCAAGCGGGCAATATTAATTCCTACCTCTATGTACCCTATATATATAGTTACGCTCTTGGCGTAATTAAATGTAGTGATAGGGTAGTGGTAGTGGCTACATACATGTATGTAGGTGGTACATGCAGCTAATCAAGGTGGATATATGCGGACAAGTACCCGAGTGAGGCCCTAAGTGATCCCCCCATCAACCTCTCCTTACGCACTGATTGATGTGTATCTTGAATAGCTTATTAACTTCCGATCAAGCCCGAGATATCGAACATGAATTTCAACACATAGGTAGAGATTTCGTCAAGGGTTCAAGCCCACCCCCACATCTGGGGAGAATGACATAAACATGTATACGCGCATCGAACCTTCGATAGGAAGAAGCTTGCCCAAAAGTGAAACTCACGTCTATAGAGCTCGAATGTACGACCATGCGTGTTGTCACAGCAGTCAAGACTCCTGGGCCCAGAAAAGGTTGCCTCGCTGTAGCTAGTTGTTCAGCATATGCGCATATAAGGATCTTCCCGGTATATTTTACACTCTGGCGCGTGTAGTGATGGGCACGAGCCGAGCTCTCTTAGTGGCGAGCCCGAGCCAGCTCGAGCCCATATCTAAAAAAGCTCGAGCCTAGCGAGGAATTAGTAATTATTCAAAAAAACCCAGAGCTTAGTAATTTATATGAGAATATATCCCCATTGTTAATCCTGAATACGAACTCTATATGCCGACTTACTGTAGGGTCTATCTTTAGGTATAAACATGAGAGCTCGAGCCTAGCTCCAGGGCTCGAACACCTCGAGCCTTTGTCCCCACAATCCGAGCCGGCTCGAGCCCTACCCCGGGCTCGTCTCGAGTCGGCTCGTGCCCATCACTAGGCGCATGCCTATGCATAAAGGTAAACTGGGAAAGCACGCATTACACATGACTGATACAACTTAATGCTTGCCAAAGCGGCTCCAAAAAACTATGTCTTATTCAAAAATAAAAAAGCAAGGCCAAAATATATGTATATATACAACAATTTCTCACAACTCTGAGATCAGCTGTTCCGCACCCTTGATGGCGAAACACATACTTGTCAAAGTTGGGTTACAAGCGTTCCTCGTGGGAATCACGTTGTTACCACCCAAGTACAGGTTAGTGGTATTGTGGACCTTCGAGAACTTGTCTACAACCGAGTCCTTATCATCCGCACCAGCCCTGGTAGTACCGCAGATATGGAGAGCCAAACCTGGCTCCATGAATTGTGGCTCGGAGCCCGGAAGATAGCCTCCGACCTGGGTTGCGACGGTGCACATACTGTACGTACCAACAAAGTTAGTATTGATTAATGGGTTGAGGGGTGAGTGGGTAGTCTTACTCCTGCATCATTCTATGAGACCGCTCACAATCTCCCTCTCCGAGAGTAAAATGGAAGGTTGGCTGCGGCATGTGGAAATGGTCACGAATGTGGGTGCTGAATTCAACACGGTTGTCCTTCACAATGTCCACCATTCCAAAGAAACGGAAGTCGACCACAAGACGGGAGTCTAGAGACTGTGCAACCTCTCCATAGGAGAAGGCGTCACGATGAATCTGTATAGGTTTGTGAGCATGGTTCGCTACAATTTTAGACGATATCTATTAACGTACTTGCGTGTGCCATGGGTGATCGTCGGTGACAGGAGTCGTGAGCTGCGGGTCGGGGTCGTTATATGGGAAAGGAAGAGGGTCTTCAGGATGCTTCAGCCTATGTGCGTCGACCTTTTTCTTCCATTCTGGGTTGGTGGTGTTCTCGACTTCCTGGACAAACTCATCCTTGAGAATAATTTGACAGAACGACATTGTTTGCTCTGTCAAGTAGTGACCCTATCAATGGTATTCATTAGCTTTGGTAGAATGAATTCAGTCGGTAATAACTTACCAGAGCTGGGAGGGATCCTTCGACAGGCCTGAATCCAGAGTTGAAAAGAATCTGAGGTGTCAAGACTGAACCTCCACAGATGACATACTTCTTCGCAAATACGTAGAAGCGGCCCTTGCCCGCGATGTTCTTGATAGTCGCACAAACAACGTTCTTACTGTTTTCATCATAAAGTACCTTGGTGCACTGGTGTTCACTCATCAAGTGGAATTTCTCGCTATTTACCGTCTCACCAAGAATAGTGTCTGAGGCAGCCCAGGTAACAAAATCAGGGTTCGTGTCTGTATTTCTCTTGCACGCCAACGGTAAACTCAACACTTTTCTCTTTTTCTCCGGATCAGGGTTGGGGAACAAGACATCAAAGGATTTCTCCAACTTTGACTTCACCAACTGATCACGGATCGAGTATGGCTGGAACTGGTCACGGGAAGTTCCAAGATACCTTTCGGCCTCGTCATAAAGCGTTTCCCACTCATCGTTCGTGAAGATCGTGGAACGTTCAAGGGTCTTGTGCTGGCGGGGTGTTGCACAGGTCCAGTGGGTTCCCATACCACCAACACAGCGGGTCGCTGCGGCGGCACCGAGATTGTCGAACTCCTTTTGGTCTGGATTCTGACCGTTACGAGTGAATGCCTTGCTGTGGTTCCAGGAAATGGGACTGAGTGTTGCAGTGTAGCGCTCTCGGACGGGGACTGAAAGGGTGCTGAGGTCTCCCTTAATGACACTGCAAAGATAAAGACATAGTCAGTGAGGAACTTGAGCAAAGAGAGCAAAAATTGGTGAAAGGCCTACTTTACGAAGCTATCAATATCTTTCTGGAACCCAACAGCGTTCTTCTTGTGTCTACCAACGACACTGCTCTCCCTATATGTTGACATTTATGATTAGAATCTCTACTAAAAAGACCTGGGTACATCGTATACTTACTGCGCTCCCATCTCCACCATGAGAACCTCATGATCCGCCTCAATGATTTTTCTGGCATAAGTAGCACCAAGTGGTCCAGAACCAACAATAAGAACTTCCGGATACTTGGCTTTCTGAATGAATCTTTCCGCAGACACGTCAAAATTCCCCGAGGTATACAGAAGAGTGTTATCAGATTCTTCCTGCGCAACAAAGTTCCCAATCTTCTTGGTCGGGCTACCTTCCCATGGGTACGAAAACTCTCCGATCAGGTTACCACTGGCCTTCTCAAAGATGCCAAAGCTACCTTTGGGCTGCGTTCCAGGGCTGGTAGTCGAAGGCACAGCACGAAGAGCTCCAAAAGTGCCAGCTAGGATGTCAAGCGCTTCGATTTGCTGGTCGACTTTGGTATAAGTGACTTGGTCGTGTGGCTTGGATGTATCTGAGTTTGGCACGAGTTTTATTCCCTCGAATATAAGAGTACCGCTTTCGATAGTGACATTTTTGATTTGGAGGGCTATGGCCTCATCGGCAATTTTGGTCTTTCCACGCTTGTTGCGGACGAGAACTTCATAGACCTGGCCTTCGGCGACCATTTTGGATTTTAGAATAAAGTTTTGAAGAATAGAGCGATTGGAAAAGCTTGAGTGTCAACTGAGAAGTAGATGATGTAGAGGGTGAGTTAGCCAGAAACGAGGGATACTATGGTCTATTAAATACCACGAAAATTCCATATAATTGATATCTTGACGATCAGATTTGATGTACTTTGAAGTTGAATGTACATACTGCTTTCTTGTGAATCCCTGTGATTCTACAATTGTATAGTACATGGAGTTAATATGACTTGATCATCCTTCTGCAGGCTGAGGTCTGAAAGAAACAAATATCGAGCTGAAATGCGCCGTGTACTTAATTGATGTAGTTGATTTTCAGAACCAGCTGAAATGTACGTCTAAAACATGCATAAGCGGCTAGAGTATCCTTTGCAGATACACCCTAGTAAGTACTTTGCCGACAAACGATTAAGCTTTGACTATATCCCCCACTCTATGTTAGAGGCCGTAAATCTGCTTAGTGCTTCAACTCTAAATTGACCTATTCCATGTTAATGTAGTATCTGGATGTGCATTTCCCAGTTAACTGCGTTGACTAACTAGAGCCCAAGAGGGGAGAACTTGATCAATTGATATTGAATAGGTAAATTCTCAGTTAGATATGTAACACAAACCTACGCCCAAGCACGCAAGCATGCATGAGTAGATCATGAGGATCGCTTTTAAGGATAACCCCATATTAAAGTAACACCTATAGCGTCGGGTTTGGTGAGATTCAAGGCATTCTAACCACAAAAGTTCCCACGGGATATAAGATCTCAAGGAATATGGTACTAAAGTGTTTCTAATTCTTGTTTGATTTTGCCGGTTCGCTTTACCTGTTCAATAAATCTGGGATGCGAGCTGTGTTCCGATCCGCGAACTGGGTGGGATTTTTTAGAGTTAGGTATTGTCAACAAGGAAATACCTAAACAGTTGGCTTGAGTCAATTGAAGATCTTTAGGTAGGTAACTCGTGAGTTGTCATTGGTGATCGTGATCGAGCGGTATTACAAAAAGAAAGAAAGAAAGAAAGAAAGAAAGAAATTAGAAATAACATCTGAGGTATGCAGGTATTCTGTTAACATAGATAGAAACCCAACGGTAGAATTACAGTCGCAACTCGATATGCCGGATCTCAATACGCCGGATCCCTTGCTATCCCGTATGAAATCCTTCGAATCTTGGCAATCCGGCATATCGAGTTGCGACTGTAGATCTATGTGCACGGACCTCTAATTAATTAAATTGGCTTCATATATGTGATGGGGGATCGTCGATTTTCAAATGCAGCTCGAGGTAATTAGATACATTCAAGGTGAAATGTTCCCCACTTACATCAGCTGAGCTGATGAATAGGTGAATTACCGCCGATTTCAGAAACCAACTGCTGAGCCATGCAGAATCTGCTCAATATACCGCCGTCCCCCAACTTCACCTGGGTATTCAAAGATGAGTTTCCTTAATCCAATATCTAATTATAACTAGCAACGAATAATAGGAACAGTTTCATAGAGTAAATCAAATCCATTGTAAGGTAGTTACCTCGGCCCAAAGTTCGAATTGGTACCGGAAGATATTCCATTCTCGTATACGTAGATACGTTTCATGGCTCGAATTGATTAAGTTCCGTGTATATCAAGGCTAAATAAGCATATTGATTAACCCGCCTAAGCCACAAGGGCGGCAAGGTGCACAACACTACTCCATTCCCAAGGATATCTGAATTCCCAAGGATATCTGAATTCAAACAATCCGTCGATGTAGTGACCCGAAAATAAATTCGGCATTGTGGTCTAGCCCAGCAGCTCACTCAAAGAGAGTACACTTTGAGAGCAACCCTTCTCTCCAAATGATTAAAGCATTCTTTTGGTGGATGAAGGTATGTCCCCTAGTATCGTGAGTTTTTTGAGGTATCTTGAACCTCGACGTCCATGGAGGAGCTCTTCCAACCCCAAAGGCCTCGTTGCTATAGATCTACTGTCTTGCGTTGCGTGTCCCAAGGCGAAATAGGTGGAAATACCGCCTTATTGACCACATTTCTTTATGCTAGAGATGTCTAGACTACACCAAATGCTCGACACGGCACATGTTCAGTCACATGGAGCTCATGATCATGGAAGTACTTTGTTTAACTTTGGAAGAGAGCTACGAGAGTTGGGGGGGGGGGGGGGAGGTACGTACACTAGTGCATGATATGCTGAGGAAAGCTGATCCTTCCTCGTTAACATACACACGAGTGATATACCGTGATTCACGTGGAGTACGCGGCGCCAAGGACGGTTTCTGGTCTGTGCTCCGATTCGTCCAGTGTTTACTTGGTGTTACAGAAAACGATCCCCCTTCTCACCAAGATAGGAATGTCCAAATGTTCTAGAATTCGGCCTCTATGTGCCCCTCCCAAAACGAAACATGCACGTACCCCGAATACCATTCTTCCCGTGGCACTTATCCAGATAAGCTCGCACCCGCATACAACCAAAAAGCAAAGCAACGACGTTGTTGTGCTTCGGCACTTTGGTGGTGGTTTTGGGTGACTACACTACACTAGGATCGGTTAGGACTGGCCGCAACGGAAAGCTCCATGTCAATCCCCCACAGCCGCCTTCACTAGGGGAGCTACTGCGGAAATACTTACATGTATTTCCAACATTATGCTTTGAGTCAGTACAGCTAGCTTCATGAGCGAATTCTCAATGCCAACAATCTCAAAGGCCTTGATTCCAGATCTTGATCCTGCACCGCCGAGTTAACAAGCGGGGCTCCGCCAGATATCCTACATGTATATCCCTTCCCTGGCATTTTTACTCACCTGACGATCCCCAGCTAACCAAAGGTGTCGCTAGACTTCAATTCGTCAAGAACCTCGGAGTGATAACCTTCATACTACGTACATACCATATCCGCTTTCCCGTCTCATGGTATATCCCGCATTACTCGAATCTTTATGGCCCATCTGTGGGTGACATGGCGGGAGAGCGGTTTTTTGGATAGGCCAGTTTTGGTAATACCGTCTAGTCTAGAGCCCTATATTAGAGCTCCATACATCACTATCCCTTGGACGGATGAAGCTCTTAAATTCGGGGCTTTCCTCTTTCACCTGATACTAGTAACTCGTGCTGATTTTCGATTGACTGCATTACTATTACTGCACATAAAAGGCAAGAGGTTTACTTGACTAAGCGCGTGCGCGGTCTAGGCTGCGAATTTGAGCGTTTCATCCGCCCAAGGCATAGCTTATCACCTCCAGACAACTTGAAGAAGATAGTTATATGTATTCGTGGAACCACCGAAGTCTGAATCCGAGCTTCCCCTCTCTACTTGTTAACATTGAGAAATTCAGTCCAAGGGACGTGATTATTAGGCTCCCGGCATGGGGCTGGTAGATATTTAAGATGTTTGAGGTAGTCAGATAAACGGGTTCAATTTCATTACATATTTACGAGTCTGTGATATATATCGGTAGCTACTGCTTGAAATCTAATCACTTATGGTGACGGAGTTATGTATATACCAAACGCCTCGGCCACAAGGAATATATCATCCAGCCGCGTGTGAATCTGGCGCTGTGTAAACCCGTATGGTCTCTCTACTACCACAGGAACACAAGTAGTTCATAGTATTAGGACAGAAGTTTTTGAGTCTGATTTTGTATGGTGTTACCATACAAGTTTTGTGTTGCAACGGCAACCAAAAGTTACCAAAACTTCTGTACCCCGACCCTTCCTTGTGTCCACCTCGGAATCTGTCCGACAATAAGTGATCTCGTTCTGACCGATTGTACCACAGTTGAAATCGATAAAAATTATTCCAATCCCAGACCTGTATGTATAGCCCCCTTAAAACATAAATGTATCTCTTGTTAATCACTATACCGTGGTCCACCTCGGTCCGCGAACCGTGGCGGTCTGTACTTACAAGAATCAAGAGATTCTACTTGAACCTAACCCATTGTTCAATGGCTCGTCGTGACCCGACCCACTGGCCACCCACCCTCTTGTCAGAAATGGTCGATTTCCTTTAGCCAACTACAACAATTAATCACAATCACAATTAAAAAAAGAAACCAACAGTCTAAAAGTCTAGTGGTATTGGATCCTATTCCGTATATAATTTTATCTGTCACGAGAAAACAGGAACAAACAAACCAACGCAAAGAAAGCCAGGAACGAAAGAAAAAAAGCACATCTATACACCACCCACCAACGGGCAGGAGGGGGGCAGTAAGAAGTTTTCCACTCCCTCCCTCTCCCTCTAGTTATCCCCGCCACTCTTCTTCACCCACCCCTCCACTGTCCTCCTCGCATCCGTCACAACCCCATCCACCGCCTTCCTACTCTCCACCAACACCCTCGCACTCTCCCTAATACTCTTCTCCACACCCTCCCTGACCGCCAAGTGCGTCTCCGCCACCTGCGGCACCTTCTTCTCCCACTCCCACACCAAATCACCCACATTCCTGCTCGTCTCGGGCATGAAATACCATCCGGCGCCCACGGCGACCACCAGCGGTGTCACCACCCTAATGGGCAGCATCCTCCTCCTTACGAGGATCGACCCCGCCATGGTGCTCACCGCAACATAGAGGAGCCCCGGCACGACCTTCTCCTCTGAGGAGCGCGGGGGCGCGAGCGAGGCGATGGTGGAGGTGACGGTGGACTCGACTGAGAGGTACTTGCTGAAGGCGGAGTCGATCTCGCGCTGTGCGAGGGCGGCGTGGGCAGTGACGAAGCGGCGGGCGGTGCCGATGTGCACGGCGAGGCGGTCGGTGGGGGTTGGGGTGCGGGTGTGGGACTCGGGGGTGGAGACCGACGGCTCGGGGGCTGGGGGGTCGTAGAGTGATTTTTTAACCTGGTGGGTGTGTCAGCGGCGGCAATTGGCCTGCGGAAGGGGGTGCGGGGGAGGTACGGGGCGGGTGATGGCCTCGTCGGCATATACGGTTGAGGTGGTGAAGAACGCCGTGGTGAGTGCAGCGCCCGCAAAGGCGGCGGGCTACAATTAGTTAGCAGAATATCAACAATTTGGTGAAGGGGGAATTGAAGAGTTACCCGCGAGGTGGTGAGCAGGCGGAAGGACATTGCTGGCTGTGTGGTCGTTGTCGGTGATGCCGTTCGGATCGATGATGGAATTTGAGGTTGAGGTTCAAGGATAGCCGGCCATCAGGATTTGGCGCGGTAGCTTGGCGTGATGGGTAGTGCGCCCTGTAGAGATGCAGTAGGACCGAGTGAGATTCTGTGGTGGCGTTCTTGGCAGAGGCCGGGATGCACAGCTTGGGTGTCTGTCTCCCGTACGTTACGTATGGGCCATTCAAAAAGAAGGTATTATAAGGCATCCCCGCTCACTTATTGTTAGACGATTCATGATCATACATGTATGTGGACGAGTAACCAACCTCTGAAATGTATACGGATGGTGAAGTCAGAGCCTCGGGCCTTGGACCTTGGAATGTTTCCCCCAACCCTACTTTTTGTTGTGGCTGTGAACTCCGGATAGAATGGTAACTTTGGTAAGCAGTCGCAACGTAAGATCAGTGTGAGATAAAAAGCTGTCGATTAAGGATAGATCAAATTCTCTGTATTGCATGGCCGTTAGCTTGGTACAACAAAGACAAAGGGCAAACGTAGCTACATGTAAAAGTGTTGAATGCCCTACTCACACACACAGTTTTCACCAGACGTGCTCTCAGAATTTGTATGGAAAAACCGAACTCTGTGGTCTATAATTAGGACTTCAGCGAGAAGGCATATCCTGGATAGACCGGCTTCAGAAAGGGTCCTTCTTAGCTGTCTTATTTCGCTTTAGGTAATTCTCTTTTCTCGCTTGCTTTACCTAGTATCTTCTCTTGTGCTGTCGATGCTGACTTTTACCTATTCTACTAGTGTATATAATCAATGCATGTAGCTCATTCAACAGCTTGATCATATCTTTCATTTTGGGACATAGCGAACCGTACCATTTTCGATCTTCTGAAGCACGCTTACGAAAGTTCTTTCATTTTAGACCCTTTCCGTACAACCTTATGCACCTACATTTCGTGGGTTTTGCATTCGTATTTCTTGGAGTGTTTGGTTCGCCTTTGTGTCAGGGAATATGGTAGCTCAAAGAAAGTATTCTATTACTGAATTGGCGTTTCGTAAGCCTTCACCTATCCAAGGATGAATAACTACATTATTCTCAGCGACAAAAGGTGATGATAACTCTGAATTTGGCTGAAACTCGAGATTCTAGTACTATCTTAGCGGTGGCTCTACTCCGCGTCCGTCCTCGCCGTAATCTTCCCCTTCACCACCCTCTCCACCGCCTCTCCAATCTCCTCCTCGCCCTCCACCAAATCCACCCACAACCCTGCCACATCCCCCCTCTCCAACAGCGCCACCCCGACCGCTGCCACATCCGCCCTACTCACTTCCCCTTTCGCCCTAGCCCTGCCCAAATCGACCTTCCCCGTCGCCTCCTTATCCGAGAGCGACCCGGGCCTCAAATGTATATCCTCCCACCCCACGCTCTTCCCCCCGGCCTTCTCCAACTTCCGGCTCTCATCATACAGCCAAATATCCGCCTGCAGCTTCGCCTCGCAGTACGTCGGAATCGCCTTCCACCCCGTGCGGAACGACGCAACGTCCTCCTCGCCCCAGTACGGCGCTGGCTCGCGCCGCGAGATCAGCGCGGAGACCATCAGGAACTTGGACACGGAAGGGGCGGCGAGAGAGGCGCTGATGTACTTCTTTGCGGCTTCTTGATCGACGGCGATGGTACGTTCGGGGCCGCCTTTGCCGCCGGCGCCTGTGGAATGTCAAGTTAGTCCTCTGATTAGAGCCCGGGCTATATACTACTGCTTGGGGCTGGAGCGGGGAGGCTTACCGGCCGACCAGATAACCCAATCAATCCCCTCGAGCTGTACTGCGATGGATTCGGGCGTGGCGTCTTCAATTGAGCTGACGGTTGGCTTGACGAGGCCTGGGGAGACGGCGTGCGCGTTGATGTCGGGGATGTGGTCGGCGCTGCGGATGATGGAGGTTACGATGTGGCCGGCTTTTGTGAGCAGCTTGGTCATGTGCAGAGCGACCTTGCCGTGGCCTTCATAAGAAGTATACGAGGTTAGAAGCTGTGGACATTGACCGGAGGGGTGGGGTGGGATGGGTTATGGGTACCTCCGAGAAGAAGAACTTGGACCATTTTGGGCTATGTGGTGTGGTGGTAGAGTATAGATATCTTAGGTTTAGGTTTGGATGCTAATATATATCTTGTAGGTTGAATTCTTTGAAGGGAAACCCGCAATATTTAACTACTCCTCTGCATATTCTGCTTTATGTGCGGAGTGGTAACTAATGTGGGGTAATGATCGGATCCGTAATCGGTGCGGCAATTGACGTCATCGGGATCTACAGGGTTGTGCATTATTGGTAGCGCAGTGCAGGGGTCTGATCTGTGGTGATGTCTGAAACCTCCGAGAGGAGTGCATTATTAATTATCAATCAGAAGAGAACAGGGGTGTTGGAGACCCGAGACAGAGACCCGACCACGGCAGGGAAGGTAATATTGATGTATTATGGAGATACTCAGAGTGCGGGTGTAAAGTACAGCTCTAATACAGTATGTACAGCAAATTCTTAAGGTGAAGATTTAAAGTTGAAACCAAGAAAGTACGTACTGGTAGGACTTTAGATAAGGACAGATCTACGGTTTAGTAGGTCTCCCACCAATAAAATCTCCCAAGTAGGTACTCAATTAGATCCTGTCTATGAATTATGTATTAGGCGTTCAGCCAAAAGGTCGTAAAAACAGGGTGTTGCTTTCGAGACCTCTTACTGAATGCTTAACCAGGTTAATAAGTAGGTCCGCCATACCTAGAGTACTCTATTGTCAAGGACAGTGAGCATCAAATTCCGAGTGTTCGACTGTGACCAGCCAGACCAAATCAGCTATGTAGGCTTACAGACCATAGAAAATAACGCTAACAAATAAACCAGAGTGCAATTGCAAGCACCACCTATATAGAATTCTCCACTGTTCTTGTAAACGAGGATATATCGGCTAGCTAAGCAGTGCATTGTATTGTGTTGTAATTTTATTAGTGGCTTACCGCTAGCTGTGCTAAGGAACCATGGTGTCAATACTATTTGAACCATTTATGGCTGCGCCCTAGTCTTCCGTTTCCCTATTGGATACGTAGTTCCTCGACCATCCCGATGGATTCGGTGGTTGAAGTATGGGTCGGTAGCTGACAGTGTTGCTGGGGGCTGGGACATGAGCGGTCACTCGTTTTCGTTTCTTTGTGTTACGTCGTATATATACTCCAGCGGTTTCAACTTCCGATCGCGTCTTTCTTCGTGGATCAGTGTGAGAGGACTCGGCCCATATCATTTGTAGTAATGTGAAGATTTATTTCTGTAGTTGGGGCATATATCACTAAAGATTGCACACTTATTCGAATAACGCGGTGAGTCAGTGGAATTTTAGTCGTTTATATTGCTATTGTGGGGTGACAAAAGTTCTCGTGATTTTCGCATAGCAACTAGCCAAAAGACCAATCCACAAAGTCGGTAATTGGAATTTATACCTAAGAGGTATGTCCCTATCAATCTTAAGCTTTAGAATCACGGAGCTGTCTCCTGAATATCTTTTATAGTCGTGGAGTTATAGTCGTTTCATGATACATCACGTACAAAATCACGAGAACTTTTGCCACCCCACAATAGATTCAGAGGAAATGATTCCAGGTTATTACCTAATATATCTATCATTCATGAATCCACAAATAAAGCTAGTGTTATTAGTTAGTCGGCACTCTCAATACTACTGCAGATGCGGTTACTCAAAATCGTAGTAGCACTCTTTGGTATCATGGTCATTGACTGTACGAGAGCACGGTGTCATCCTAGGCCTATGATCTGATGTTCCGACTTTTGTCTACGCCAAATTGCAAAGTACCTGTTCACACTATCACAGTTTCTCCTCTACTACGCCCACTATCCTACAACCATAGAAGTCAATACCGAGTGATTCCCGTTCCACCAATACTGGCCACCCTCGCCTCGCAACATCATCCAACGGTCCAAGTCACTACATGTAGTTATCACTTACCAATCGTCTACAGACAGCTCTAGCAACGAGTTTACCAGTCATACTATTGGACCACCACAACCCACTACTAGTCACACATAGAGCCTACTAAGCCTTCTACGTTCTGTCTCTACTTCATGTCCCGCTGGACAAGATATGTATATATGAGACCGAACCAAACATATCACTGCTTTAGCATCATGTGGTCGATGAAAAATCACCGATAGAAGATAGCTTCTATTTGCGTAGGCCACCTCCATGATTCTTAAATACCCACGGCCCCCCCCTCTTCCTTCCAGATCTTTATCCACTACTCACACATTCTCACACCACACTAACTTCCTTCCTTGCACTCCAGGTAAAACCAGACTACCATAACAAATCTTCATTTTTCAAATACACTCACAATGTCTTCACATAACCCCAACCGTCCTTCTCGTCACGCAATGCCAGCTCCAAGTACTGCCACTGTAAAGTCCTCCTATATGAGTGACAAGATCCGCAACGCTCCCACCCTCGGGCCTGGCGATAGCCTGAGCCAGATGAGCCGGAAGAGCTCTCACGTTGATCCTAGTCACTCTTCGAGGGCACCCAAGTCTCACGCCTCTGGTATGAGCGGCCACTCTCGGCGCGGGGCATCAAGACACCTCTCAGCGGTACCTGAGGTGTCCACCATCAGCTCTTCGAGCAACAGCAATCTGTCTTGGGCCCCCATGTCCCACGCATCGGGCGGATCAACCCCCCAAGCCTCCTCAAAGCACAGTAGATACGCTCCCGTACTCGACAGCAGCCATGTGTCTTGGTCCCCCATGTCCCACGCATCGGGCGGATCAACCCCCCAAGCCTCTTCAAGGCACAGCAGACACGCTCCCGTACTCGACAACTCCCCCCAGTCATCAAAGAATTCGAGCTCAGCTTGGTTCTCTGACGAGAAGGCCCGCAGCGCTTATCAACAGATGACCCATAGCCAGGCCGGGAGCTCAGCCTCCAATGCCTCGCGGGGCCAGAGTGGTATGCATGCCCCCAGCCGCCACACAGCGACACCCTCGTACACGTCGGGTGCGGCTGGCCCCTCCGGGAGCCACCGCAGCGCCGCACCAATATCTATGAGCTCCAACATGAGCGGGCAGGGCTACAGTTCTTCTGGCAGTCGCCAGCCAGAGCCCCAAATGTGTGGAACCTCCGGTGCCTCAAGACAAATGTCCCAAGCGTCGGGCATGAGCGGACATGGGTCCCAGGTTTCTTCGTCTAGCCGCCAGTCCGCATCACCGGGCTCCCAGAATATGAGTATGACCCAGCACGGAGGGAGGGCCGGTCATCGTTCCGTGGTCCCATCGCCATTGGGTCAGGCCCCTGTTCACAATGGTTTCAGAGGTACGATTTCCACACCTGAGGGAAAGCCTGGGGAGACAGTGGAAGTCAACATCAACATTCGTACCACCAGGAAGTAGTGCTTTGTGGAAGTTTGTTAGTGATAATCCCCTCCTTTTGCCATAGGCAGTGTAGAGGGAGATGTTATGGTAAATCTTCGGTTTCTGGGTCGGACAGATTTATTTCTGTTTTCTTGTAGTGAGTGCTTGCACCTCTAGCGCTTTGGGTTGGGGATTCCATTTCCCAAATTATAATTCTTCTTTTGGTTTTGAGGTTTAGGTCTGGGGATTTTTATGTTTCGGTATTTGCAGTTTTGTCTGCGTATTTCATAATTGTGGCGTGCAATAGCCAGTAACTGGGCTTTTTAACAGAGTCCTTAGATACGAGTGTTAATGGAATAATTTATACTCTTCATATTATAAACAGTATTTGTGATTCTCTATCTTAACATCGTGATCGGAACGAAAAATCGAAACCTTTACCAAGTGTGATTTACCTCATTCTGCTTTATAAATTCTAAGGTTGAACCGGTCTGTAGAACAAGATGTATTTTGATGGTCCTCAACTCTATTAGTAGGTAAAGGCTATGATCCAAAGTTTATGTAAAGTACGTTGATGGGTTATGCAGTAAAGTATATTTTTTATAGTCAATGATAACTCTTTCACTCTCTCCACTCCCTAATCCCCTCCCTCTCCAGCACCCCCTAAAATAAAGTGTCGAGTGATACCTCATGATCGACATGCTTCTCCCTTTGGTTACTTCCGTCCTGCTTGATAATTGTGGTATAATTGCCGGTTTAAGTACTTTGTGATCTTCAGAGCATATTACGGTTTAGTACTTCTTGGGGAAAGTTACAGAGTCGAATATTCGGTAGATTCATTGCTTTGAAACGTTTTGGCCTGTTGCCTTCCCTCAAGATGCGCGGAGCAGCTTTCATCACAGTGATTCGCAGAGTTTGGTAGCAGTCTCTAGAGATCGGGTGTGTGCAACAGTCAATGATTCTGTGATAAAAGCCAAAACACCAGTTCAATGGAAACTACGAACCGGACCCCATACTCAGGCAAAAAATGTATCGTATGAGAACAAAGCAACCTTACACTGCTGCTACAAAAGAAATCAGATGATGCTCTCACCGTAAGGCATATATTTTTTTAATTATCTGGATCTAAATAGTTAAAAATCTCGTTGCCCTGACTAGGGAGGCTCCCGCCCAAAAAGAAAAAAAAGATAATGATATTAGCATTGATTGTTTAGTATGGCACCAAGCCCCCTTCAACTTGTATGTGCACTGGATAAAAGACTCTCTCGGCGAAACCACCAACGATCCCCCCACGTAAAAGTGTTGACCGAACCTACAACCCCTCTTCAGACCTACCTTTCCGCCTATCATCCGCAAACACAATTATGGATCCCCCAAGTCCCAAGTCCGAGACCAGCCAGTCTGACACTGAGCGCCAGGTCGAAAGCCCAATCGACCAAGGCCAAAAAGAGATTCATTCCTCCGATGTCCAGCAGAGCGACAACAGCAAAGGCAAAAGGGGAATCGAAGTTGAAGCAGAAAGTTATCAGACTCACACCTCGTCTGTCCTCCAAGACAAATCTTCCAACACAAGTCGTTTCCCTCAACGCGGTCACACCTACACCGTAGTCAGAGTTGGCGGTGGTAAGCCTATCGTTATTCAAGATGATCCATCTGAAGAGCAACACTCCGAGTCAGGCTCTGATCCAGCATCCGATCCAGCCCTCGAGCCGCGTAAAATCAAGTCCGAGGATGAGGAGGGTTATTATGCTCCGGGAGGGTTGGAAAGTGATGACGACTCTGGTACTTTTCGGTCTACGTTCACTAAAGAGAGCTTTGGTTTCTCTATCGGAGCGCCCGGATGGAAGAAAGCACCTCGTTAGTCGTGGAGATGGGTGGAGATGGGAGGACATGGTACAGAGAGGAAGTTTTGAGGCGTTGGCTGCAAGGAATGGAGTCTGTTCTGTAAAACATGGTAATCAGCAGGTTTTCTTGGAGCTTCGGAATATTTTCTTTTGGAGAATAAGTCTGTAATCGAACTGTACACTCATGAATTCATATTAGGTTCTCATCCTGTAATCCTTTACTACTCTTGTGAGGTGGGTTGGGCTGGGTTGGGGAAAGTCAACTTACCGCAAGCTCGAGACGCCTTAAATGCGCTTTGCCCCGCTTGATCAATTGATGAATTTGAAAAAGGGGACGTCGATGCTCTGGATAGACTGGTACGGATGAGTAGGGGAAATACAGTGCTACTACATGTATATATTCGACTGGTATTCGGATCGATTATCTCAACTTATCAGTTTGTAAGTGGCAGTCCAGCTTGTAAGCGGCTGGAAATATATTTGTATATCATTTTCGCCCTGTTCTCTAATATATCGGTCTTTCGATGTTTATGAAGAAAAGAAAGAATGTTTCTAACTTTTGAACGGCCCTACATACGGTGGAGTTTTAGACCGGCACATTTTACCCTAGATTACCAGTAATGGTAATGTGGGCTGAACCAAATCTAATGCTCGCGGCGGTTATTTTGACAGCTTTGGATAACTTCAGCCCTAGCCTAGTTTGGTTGGCAATACGGCCCGGAACCGGAAATCCTCGGAGCAGTCTACACAAATATATCGTGTATCACCTGCAAGTTATCCTATATCTTTATAATAAGGGCTCAGTTTGAGGTCTCCCATGCACGAAACGTACTTCCACCATGCTCATGTACAGCGGTAGGTAATAAGTGATGGAACAAAGCAATACCTGTTTTGGTAAAACGCCACCAACATTTGGTGTTTGTACTCTCAGGGCGTTCCATCACTTATTACCTGTCGCTGTATAGTAGTTGCAATATTTGTGCCCGCAGAGCTAAGCAATCAATTACCAACCTCAACGTCCCAACCACATGCCTATACCCTCAGCGTCGATTTTATTTACTGAATGCTCTTAGAAAATCGTCTTTGTATCATTCATCACAGAATTTCGTGGCGGAGACTACATCAAACTAGCGCCGTCCATGCCATATGCCTTCTCTGCTAGAAATTCAATGTGCTTGAGGTATGGAGAGCTTACTGGATCAACTATAGCAAGATCACACAGAATGGCAACAATGCGATAACGGCTTCGACTAGTCTCAACGAGCCGCCGCGCAATGGAAACTGGAGAACATTCTCACCATGATCATTGGAAGTCTTGGTAAGATATGATATATATTTATCCCGTAATTTTAAGAACATATATCTAAACTATATAGTCTTCCTCATCGTCACTAGGAACGTCTCCTATTGGTTACAGCGCACTACATGTATTTCTAATATTGATTGCATATCATGATTCGACAAAGAACTACTCCCGAGACGGAAGGGAACTGGCATTAAAAGGCATATAGCTATTGCAATTGATGGATATAAAAGAACAAACACTGACAGAACTACAGCTATATTTTTATATATGAAGGTCGAATTTTCCTGATACCATTTTATCATGAACTACATGTACATACTAACGCTACTCATTGAATGACTTAGAGTGCATACTAGGGCTAATATATCACAGATTACATATAAGGAGAGATGGAGATAAGGTTTAGTGCATGCCTGTACGTTTTGATGACCCAATAATCCAGAATGACAGCAATAATCTAAGAAATTACTATCGCAGTACCGCCCGCACCTCATTTCCTCAGTACATTTGGGCGGCCGAAGGCCGCACTCCGCTTGTACGTATATACAGACGTACAGGAGTTGTCTAGGTGCGCGACTGTTGGGTATACCCTCGGATGCAGCGTTAGGGAGGACCACACCCCGATGATACGTCTACTTGGTGGAGTGCCATTTTGCTCCGATAACAAAGCCACCCGCTGCCTAGCGGAGTGCAGCTTCCTACTCATCTAATCAGTTAATGAGGCGTCTGTGTCTGTTTGACCACGTCCATACGAAATCATAACGGTCCGACCAGTTCAAAGGTTTGCACCCAACTCACTCTATTAACAAGTTCTTTATGAACCAATCCCTAACTATACACTAGGTGTGCTTGATTTTTAGCTCACAAACTCGTAGTTTGTAATTAACCATCGGACCGAACCCAGAGGTCTATGTTACCCGTTCATTAGGCTCGCTGTTTCAGGACTCTAGTAGTCAGTATTAGATACGCTAAGATAGCCACGCCCTGATCTCTTAGCCATCTTGCAGGTAGGACGCTTGATTGTTCTGCGATGCGTGCTGGTTAATAGAACAGAACTACAGACTTTGGTTCAATAGGCGTACATGCTAAGGTTAATATTATGTTTCGGGCAGTAAAATAAGCAATATATATAACGCCCTTCTTTTATTTCCTGCCAGTATCGGTATTCGAAGCATCAAATAACTCGTATCCTGTGACTGGGTCTTCTGTTGACCTGTCGAATCTATCAGTGTTTTTAGTGTCGGTATTAATTATATTGTTTAGAATGCTCCGTATAAATTCTATACTGCGGACCAATATCAACTCACCACATTACATTGATCTGGGCTCATACTATGAGAAAGAAAGAACACATGTAAGCCCACAACCCGTGTATTACCACCCGAAGTACATGTAGCTGGGCAAATTCTTACCTGATAGTCCTATAAATGATTAGGGACCTTTTAAACCCCTACCGTAGACTAAGTGGAGAAAAGATGTATCTTCCAAGGGGGCCATAAGTATGGCTTACGTACATCGATATATTTCTATCACCTAGGATAATGTTCAAAGAGAGACTCTGACATTGCCATGACCATAAGGTTGCATGCAATTAATGAATTAAACAAACAAAGAGAGAGAGAGAGAGAGAGGCTCTGTCGGAGTTTACGGCCGAGTGATAATTAGTGATCGTTCTGAGGATGATAACGTTCAGAATCGCCCTGAGGAGCCTGGGGTATGGACGCGAATTCTATCTAACCTTTATTATATTCGTTGGTTTCTCTCTATGGAGATATTTGCATCAATGGCCGATTCAAGGCATCTTCAGTGGTTATGGTAGTACCTGGCGTATTTTAAATCATGAAAAATCACTCGGTTAATAGAGCTAGTCGTGATACATCCCCACAGCACATGTGGAAGGTGTATGCAACTCAGAATACACAAAACCTCGAGGAATAAAGATAACGTAGAGACACAGCAGTAGAATGATGTGTATCCACTACAAGGACGGTGTGGTACACACCACGCTGTCCCGAATGACAGATGATTATAACTACGGAAAAGGCCTAAAATGACACAGTTTTCGGTATGTGTGCTTCGAAATAACACATGATGAAAAAAGACACAGTTCGCTGTCACTACAAGTAAAAAAGGAGAAGGAAAAAAAGAACAAAGCATTCTATAAAACTACAAAAGGTACAAAATTACAAAAGGTACTGCAGCGACTTATTAAGACATTTGCGACTGCTACCCCCACCCCTGGTTTGAACCCAGGACCTTATGTATGATTGGTTGTATCCTGGGTACTCTCGGTGTCGACGAGCAGCCTATCCACTAGACCACCCGCCCATAGTAGATGCTGTGCCCGAGGTGATGCTTGAGTGTGCCAAGATGAAGATCGAACTTGAACCCTGACCCTTCGATATTATCATTGCTCAGCCAATACGTATACTAATTGGTGTATTCGTTTTGGATTATACCGAACTGTGTCATCTTGCATTCATGTGTTATTGTAGAGCACGTCTACCGAAAACTGTGTCATTTTAGACCTTTTCCGTTATATCTATTATAAAACAGGCCAGAGAAGATACGTCCTATACCTATCTCTGGTCCAGCAACACAAGCCGGAAGACGGTACACGTATACATGTAAACAGGAGAAGAGCCTCCTGACCACCCACATAGTAGTATGGGCACGGAACTTTGTCCCAAAATACGAGCGATCTTGTATGTTCTGAGACCCTTCATATGCATAGGATATAATTTTGGAGCAAGAGCTTGATGAGTCTTCTATTCCTTGTGTGGCTCTTTCTATATGTGATGACTTATTTAACTTCTTTCGGATCGTAGACAACTTTAAGATTGAGATCCCATGTATTTGTGTCATTTTATGCTTGATAAGCCTGGTTTTAAAGGACCTCTAATCAAATTTTTGAAGATATAAGAGGGCTGCTAGTTTAAATTAGATGAAATTGAGAGTTGTGAGGGATATTTGATGAATAAGCCTTTTATTTGATGAAGCTTGGTATCTAGCTAGGCTAATGCATCCCTAGAATTCTTGATTCACCTATAATTAAAAGGCTTGCACAAATTTAAAGCTTCTCTCGAACTCCACTTTACCTGTTTACCACGTTCTATCAGTCAAATAGCTTTGAATCCTTACTAAGCGAGTTATACATGTGTTATCGACGTCCATCAAGTATTTGACATGCCATCAGAACAGCCGGCGTCTATCAACAGGCATGGGATTCATTCGGTCTGACTCTTTCCAGAAAAATGCTAAAAGATACAGAGTAAACCCTGTTGGAAACCCAATTTCTGCTAATTTCCATCCGCTTTGAACTGCCTGCAAATACGAAATCGCCTCTCCAGTAACCTTGCGATCTGCGCCAATTCTGCCAAGCATAAGTCCCCTTTGGTCTTCGTATGCATTAGCCAGGACTTCGAACAGTATAGCAATCTCTATATTCCCGCATATCAAATGCTTTGTGAACTCGAGTTTAGCTTTTATATCCTGGTTCAAGACGATCTTGACAGAATAATGTTCATGAATTTCCGCTGCTTCGTCACAGATCATATATGGATCCCTCAGCTCTAGCAGTGCCGTCAGATTCCGATATGTCCTCAGTGTCACAGGCACTAACATCTCCCGAAAGAAATCATGCCTCCTCGGTTTAAAGCCATAAAGATTTCCCATGTCCCACTCCTCACCTCGCGAATGATCTACCCCACCCAATAGGGGCTGAAAGTTCCATTGAGATACCCCGCAGCACTTCTCGTATTTGAACCTCCGGCATGAGTCCATAAACTCCACAATGAGCAATGTATCTGTGTTGTTGGTTTCTAGGGGCGGCATTATGAACGTATACGTAAGGAATCTCTCTGGGCCTAGCTCACATTGTAGCTGCTGCTCCATATCCCAGAGTCTTTGAGCAGGGAGATGAGGATCTTCTTCACCGTTGGAGAGAACTGAAGTTATGATTCGCTTCAAAGGGTTTTGGGGATCGGGGCGGACTCGTAGGTGGAGGGTTTCAATGTCAGACTGTATCGAACTAGTGGTGCTGATATCCATTTCGTCCCCGCCCTCATCCTCATCCTCATCCTCGTTCTCATCCTCATCCTCGTCGTTTTCGTTTTCGCTCTCGTCCTCGTTCTCATTCTCATCCTCGTTCTGGGATGCCTCAACTGAGGTGGGGGTGGAAGTACTATCGGTGCCCCTAAAGGTGGTGAAGCATAATGGTGATGATGGGGAATACCTCTGGCCACTTGGTGGTCAGTTGGGGTATCTGAGTCTACCAACAAGGGAACTATAGTTCCCAGATCCAAATCCATATCTATATCCATGGAGCACTAGGTACGTCTCTCAGTTTTGGACGAAGTAAATTTAAAATGGGGGCTAAGTCACAGAACCAGAAGACTATCGAGTAAATAGAATTTATTTAACAACATACATGTACATTAATACGTGGCCATATGATATTAGATGTGTATCTGTAATTACATTACGATTAAACCATGCCATTTCCTAAATTAGTTAGATCTAGAGCTACATAGCCCATCAATAACGTTACTACATGTATTAAGCTACACTTAGGTACCCATCTCTACATAATGAGATTGATTTATTGTAGAAGTATTGAAGCGCCCTATTGGACGAGTAATCTCAGTATGGGGCGGTAAATGTGCCAAAAGTAATTTTACCGGCCAACGGTAGTAAATTATTTTACTTACCGAATGCGATGCGGCGGCTGCGATTTGAGCAACCTATAAAGATCACAATACGGTCAGCAAGCTCCTCTGGAAGGCCAGTGGTATCGAAGCAGCTACAAAAATATGGAAACAGTTCACGAGATGGAGATACGAGAGAAGCGGACAAGATGAAAGTGCGGAAGAAGAGAGGAGAGAACTAGGGTACGGATGGGGAATGCTGAGAGACGCTGGAAACGAGGAATAGGATAAGAGATGATTTACTAGTGTTTTTATTTCCTATGTTAGATACACGCGAGAGGAGGTGGAAGAGATCGGGTAGTTCAGGGGCTATTGCCATGACTGTAAGGTTGCATGTAATTAATGAATTAAACAAAACAAAAAAATAGTAAATTATTTTACACCAGTGGTGGAAATAATACCAATATTTATACCTTATAATGCTAATTCCTATTTTGGCCAAAAGGGGCCATATAATGCTAATATATACGAAAATTGTCCACCGGTGAGAAATTTTCATAGTTATAAGTTTTGTCATTAATGATTGAACATTTACTTATTTAGTATAGCGCAGCATAGAGACCGAAACCCAGTGTTTATACCGGTGGAAAATGTACTAATGTAGGATAGCGTGACACAATGACTGAAATTCAGTGCTTATACCACCGGTGGTAAATAACTTACTACCATTGGTAAAATTACTTTTGACACATTTACCGCGCCTCCATAATCTCAGACCTCTCATTTTTCTACGACAATTCTACCTCACGCTGTAGTAGAACTTTATAAAGCTCGATGAGTATACTACATGTAGTACATCATATACCGGCTACAAGTATCTAAATGAGTACCTGTATTGATATTAGGACCATACATGTAATAATATCCGAAAAGAGGCACGCATGTGGCCATGGTGCATGCATTTTAAATCTATCTCGTTCGCCTCCCCGCACAGTACTAGTAACTTTGTCTATAACCTCATAACATGTAGATACGTACATAATTTACACATATATATATTTGTACTGAGTACTAAATACTCTTCATTTATATGTGCAGATGCTTTCGTTGCACACAACTGACCATGATATATAATAACAAAGCCTGATCGTGTAAGATACAAGTCCCGGCCCGAGTGATAACCTATGGATATGAGGTGAACGTGAGGATGCTTGTAACTTATAAAGCCCCGTTAGGATTATAGCGTTCTTGGTTTTTGGATATGGTTGCGGTACGGTTAATAAGGTTTCGGTATGGAGTTGAGATGCACTACAACTAGCTACATTAAATACTCCCGGAGGTATTTGTTAGTTATATAAGATCATGAGTGAAAGTCTTGATTTTTTTTGTGACCTATCAGAAGCTATTCTAACCCTTTCTGTTTTGTGTCGACGGTTAATTGACTACATGTGTGCTTAATATCACTTGAGTTTGCAATTTGGCCTACCGAGCGCCCTCTTACCACTGTGTTACGAAATTCATACCCAAACAATCTCTAAACAATGCATACCCCTTAAGGAGACGTGGTATCATTTAGAAACGGGGTTATGTTGGTGAACTCACTTATTTGGTGGAGAACTGATCGCAGCAGATCCTGCCAAAAAGCTAGAATTGGACATTTGGATCCTCACGACGCCGGATATATAACAGCTAATAACACCGCATCTCTGTTGTTTTGGTATCAGAACACAGAGGTGCAACTTTTTCAAATAAACTCGCTCAAGTGTCGTTACCATTATAGAAAACGAGTGACAAAATTTAGCACAATGCAATTCACTTTCTATCATTTTTGCTAAAGCACAGCCAAAAGGAAGGAAACAATGCCCCACCCAGGTATCCTACCAACCATTCCACCAACCATTGTATCTAATCTAGACCTAAGTAATAAAAAGGAACAGCATATATAAACCCAATGAAACCCAATGAAATCCCTAATCCGCTCCTAGGCTGCAATCATTGTTCTTGCCGCCCTCTCCTCTTCACTAATAGGGTAAGGTGGCTCATTATATGCGCTCCCGTATGTACTCGGCGCAAAGCTTTCAACCGTTGAGCTTCCGTTTCTTAAAGCAGGATGTACCTCTCGATGCGCCGGGTGAACCTCTGTAACCTGGGGTGTTGCTTGTGGTATAAGGGCAGATGATGGTGCGGTAGTCGTGACCTGCTGTGCTAGAGACGATTCTTCAATATCCGATGTCCACTGTCGAAGCTCTTCTTCTGCATCGTTCAGGATCTGTCGAGCTTCTCCCTCGCGTTCAAAGGGTTCGTGCATATCTCCTGGGACAACAGGTTCATCGTTGAGAAGCTCAAGCATCCTCCTCCCATGCCGTGCTAGTATTGCCTGTTTCTCGGCCCGTTCTACTACTGCCGCGAAGTGCTTTACATAAGCTTCCTTTAATTTTGCTCTCGTGATATTTGTGAGCTGCGCTTCTGCGACCAGATTCTCGGCCTCTGCTCGGACGAGCTCCTGCTCTAGTATAGCTAGTCTTGGCGAGTTCGGTTCCTTGTACTCCAATCTTCTAATATCCTCTAGTATCCTGGCTCTATTCTCCCTACTCGGCCCGACACTACTCTCGGTATTCCTGATCGTCTTTAACACTGTTCTGCAGCCCTCTAGATTTGTTGCAAAACCTTCCTCCAGACCGCCAATCTCAGCGAGAATAACGCCGAGTTTGTCAGAGAGCTCAGACACAGCATCGTCGCCCGTTGACTCGCCCCATTCAGATAGCTGGGTTGCAATGCATTGGCGCTCATGTGCAGCGGTGTTGTACGCTGTGATGACATGGTTTTCTGATTTTATAAGGCGGAACAGACGGCGAGATAGATCGGGGCGAGTTGAAGCACGCAGAGAGGCAAAGAGGGATACCTTGCGACGTAGAGGAGGAGCAGGAGAAGGGGAGCTACGGGCTGGGGGTTGTTTAGACCGTGTGGAGAGAGTGCGGTGCCTTGAAAGCGCTGGGTCAGCGGGGATTGTGGGGGACTTTCGAATGGTGTAAGGGGTGGAGGGATGGCCATTTTCGTGACTTATTTGGGAAATTATAAAGGTATAGATTGGGGGTAATTAGAAGAGATGAAAGGATGGATTCTTTTGGTGATCGTAGTGTAGAAAATTAGAGTTGAAGACCCGCTTACATTTTCAAAAGGAGATGGCTGAAGAGTTTCTTCTTATAAGACTCGTTACCAGTGTAACGAAGCAAGGATATCCAGTCTTTGTGAACCGTAATAGTAGCAATGCAGGTACCTCTAGCGGTAAGGGAAACTATTGTAAACTCAGAAGTAGTGAAAACCTGATGAAACAGCGGGAGGCGCTTGATCGGGTATGAGCAAAAAAAGATGCGGAAATAGTAGCGCGAATGGTTTGAAGAAGTTGGTTGAGGTCTCGACGTCATTTCCAGGATCTTCCAGAAATAATTGGAGCTGGGTGGCTCCTGCACACCCTGCATCACATTAAGCGAGGTGTCGGATGCTTAACATAGCGTGGCGCCATCCCGATATGGTTGGTGGTTATCCTAGAAGGGCGCTTAGAGAAATGGTTGACAGCTCATGGAGAGTCATGGTTGAACATTACGGTGCATGTAATATCTCTCTGCTCCAGATGCCGATAACTAGCACACATTAACAGAGTGTTGTCCAAGAGAAGCAAAAGTCTCATATGTATGGTACTTACACGTACCTACAAGATATATTTGGGTACTGTACGTTCGTCCATACGCATATTTAGATGTAGCTACGTGTTGGGGTCTATCAAGAGCAATTATATAGAATTTTTTTTTTTTTTTTTTTTTCGTAATCTGCCTACACGATCTGCTCGGGAAGAGTTTCTTCCAGGAAAAAAAAGAGGAAAAAAGCAATAACATAAAAAAATACACAAACGTAAGCTTCATCTCTCCCGAGATCCTAAAGAATATCCTCACAAGAAAGGGCCCTGCATTTTTGCTTTTACAAGTCATCATTGAAATCATGGCCGTAATTTCTGTTGTATCTCGGTGTCTCCTCATGATCAGTGGTTACAAGATCACCTGGGAATACATCTTCGTAGTTTTGGTCGGTGTCAACATGACCGTGGGCGCACCTAGCCACGAGTCCGAGGACCTCATCTGTGTTTGTTTGTTAGCCTTTTGGCCCTTCAATTCCGGATATAAAATAGTAAAGGGTAATTTGAGATAAGTAGGATTCGGATTCGTACTTCCAAGAAGCCAATTTACACCTTCCTCCTCAAGTGATGCAAGAACTCCCATCTCAGCCCAACTTTCACCCCCTCGACACATTCCCTGTGAGACCCTGATCTTTCTGGTCCACTTCTGTTCGTTGATCTTCCTCGCTCTCTTTACTCGCTTTTGCTCTTCTTCATACTCAACTCCGGTAATTGCGACTTCGTATTTTCTGTCACCTTTCTTGATACCTTTTTCCTTCAGAGCCTCGTTTACTGCCGCCCTAAATCTCCTTTCCTCCCTTTTCCTTCTAAACGTTTTGATTATTTCGTTGATTGCTATTGTATCTACCCTTACTTCCTCTCCACTACTCGAGAGGAGAGGTGCACCAGCTGCACCGCCAATATCCGCTCTGACGCCAACCTCCTCAAGTTTAGACTTTTCCACATCGTCCAAGAACAGGTCACGACAAAGGTA